AGCCTCTTCGAGGGGGGCGGCCGGCGCAACGGGAAGCAGCAGCCAGACCCCCCGCTTCGCCGGGCGGAGTGGCGCTGCGGCTGCGGCTGCACGAGCTGGGCAGAGCGCGCGGACTGCCGCAGGTGCGGCGCTGCCCGGGGCGGCGCGCCGGCGGCATGCCCTCCGCCTGCGCCGGCTGCCGCCGGCGAAGCTGGGACAGCAGCCTGGCCGGCTTTGCCCAACGCCCGGCCGCTGCGGCCAAGGGCCCAAGCCGACGCTCTTCGCAGGGTAACGGCCGCCGCGCGCAAGGCAGGCGCGCTGCCAGCCGCCTTGGAGGCGCTGGAGCAAGACGAGGCCGCAGCCCGCGCGCGCCAGGCGCAGCAACGCTCTGGCAACCGCTTGGAGGGCCTCCGGGCGGCGGCGAGGAAGGCCGCCGCTGCTGCGACTGCTGCGGACGAGGCGGTGGCAGCCGCGACGCGCCGGGCAGAGGAGGCCCGCGCCGCGGCGGCAGCTGCCGAGGCAGCGGCCCGCGAGGAGGAGGCTGCCCAGGCGGCGGCTGCCGAGGCAGCGGCCCGCGGGGAGGCTGCGGCGCCGGCGCGGGACGCTGGGGCGGAGCAGCTGCTGCAGGCCACGCGCGAGCTCTTGGACCGCCTGGAGCTCCACACACGCGGGCCTGCCGGGACCCACGCCTGGGGCGACGCGCCAGAGCCGCTGCTGGCGGCGATGGCTGCGGCGCACGCCGCCCTGGAGGCAGCGGGGCCACCGCCGCCCCCGCCCGACTTGGACGCCGAGCTGGGCGCGGGCGCAGACGACGAGCTCGAGGAGGCTTCCGCGGGGGACGCCCTGGAGCAGCTCTGGGGAGCGGCCGACAACGCGGCCCTCCTCGCCGCCGCACGCCGCCTGCGCGGCGACCGCGGCGCCCGCCGGGAGCCAGCCGCGGCCGGCCGGCCAGCCTCGCCCCGACCGCCGCGGCAGCGAGGCCGCAGCCGCACACCAGGCCGCGCCTGAGACGCCTCTGCGGCTACGCCGGCGCGCGCGTCGGCGACGCCAGCCACCCGGGGCCGCCGGCGGGAGGGCCGCTGCCCTGCCCTGCCTGCCAGCGGCCGCTGCGCGCAGTGCGGCCCGCGCGCCACGAGACCGGGGCCTGAGCTGGATGCCGCGGGGGGGGCGGGACTTGGCGGCTGGTTCCACCACTGCGAGGCGTGCGACGAGCTCCTCTGCCGGACCTGCGCCGGGGCCGCTGCCGCAGCCGCCGCCGCGGCGCCGCCTGCCGGGAACGCAGCGCCCGCGGCCGACGCTGGGCCCGCCGGCGCCGCTGCCCCTGCGGCCCCGGGAGCCGCCGACGCCGGCGGCGCGCCACCGGGGGCGCCCGCAGCGCCGGCGCCTGGGGCGGACACCGAGCCCGCGCCGGCGCCGCGGCGGCCTCTCCAGGACCTCGCGGCTGACTGCTGGGCGGACCTGGACGGGCTCAACTTGCTGGACGAGCTGGCAGAGGACTGCCCCACGCTCCGCTACGGGCCAAACGGTGCAAGGGCGGCGGCGGCGCAGACCACGGAGCTCCTCTGCAAGGCAGCGCTGCGCGCGCCACGCGGCAGCGCGGAAGAGGAGAGGGCTTGGAAGCTCCTCCTCCTCCTGAGGGAGCGGCTCCTCTTCGCGGCCCCGCTGCGCCGCGGCACGGGGGGGCAGGCGCCAGCCTGGGAACGAGCCGACACTCCAGGCTTCGCTGATCCGCCAGCGATGCTCCCAGCTGCAATGCGGGGCTCGGGGCGAGCTCCTCGGATCCCGAGAGGCTCGGGCCGCCGGCCGCGGCTTGGCGCGCGCGAGACGGGAAGCCGAGGGCGCCCGCGCTGGGGCCGAAGCCCACTTGGCGGACGAAGTGGTCCGGAAGACGCTGGCGGAGGAGTACTCGCGCGCGGCGGCGCTCCTGGCCAGCCCGGGCCCGGCGCCGCTGACGCCCGACACAGCAGCCGCGCTGCAGTGCCTGATCCGACCCCGCGGCGCCCCCGCCCTCGAGCCCCCAGCGCGCGGGGGAGGGGGGGGGGGAGGGGTGGGCCCATGGGGGGGGGCGGCCCGCCGCCTCGCCCCTCTCCCTCTCCGAGCTGCGGAAGGCGCTGAGAAGAAGCCCGAAAGGGGGCGGCGCTGCAGTGGGCGGCGGCCGCTTCGAACGCTGGCGCGTGGTGCTGGCCGAGCCCGCCGCCTTGGAGGCCCTCTGCAATCTCTGCGACCGCCTCGCCACGGGGGACCTGCTCGCCAGCGCGGCAGACGCTCTAGCACTCTCCAAGCTGACGCCGCTGCGCAAGCCCGGAGGCGGCGCGCGCCCTATTGCTGCCCCCAACGTCCTGCGCCGCCTGGTGGGGAGGGCACTAGTGGCGCCGCGAGCGGAAGCGCTGGCGGCCGCGCTGGGAAGGCAGCAATTCGCAGTTGGAACAAAGGCAGGGGCAGAGCTTCTGGCACACACCGCGCGGGCGCTCTCGGAGGCCAACCCGGACTTGGCCCCGGTGGCCCTCGACGCGAAAATCGCTCGCGGCACGGTGGGCCGCGAGGGCAGCCTGAGCGAACTCGGGGCCACTGCGCCAGAGCTGCTCGCCTTTTTGCGAACTTGTTCTGCCGCCGGCACTCGCAGTGCTACTTCTGGGACGGCGGAGGCAAGTGTCACCGCTTGCTCTCGGCGGACGGCATTGACCAAGGAGACCCCCTGGCGCCGCTCCTTTTCGCTTCCGGGGCCCGGCCTGGCCTCCGAGAACTGCAGCGGGCCCTGCGGGGGGCGGCGGCCGCCCGAGGGCTCAACGCCGACGACGTCCACGTTCTGGCCTACCATGACGACGTAATCGCGTTCGCGCCTGCCGCCGTGGCCGGAGAGGCCCAGGCGCTCGCACAGGCTTCTCTGGGGGGGGCTCGGGCTCGAACTCCAGCCGCGGAAAACGCAGGCCTGGTCCGCGCGGGCGCCTTGCCCGCCAGAGCTGCAGGGGAGCTGGCGCCAGGAAGGCCTGACGCTGCTCGGCGTGCCGCTAGGCGAGCCGCTCCCGCCGGGCGGCATGCCGGACGAGCGCGACGGGCGGCGCCTGGACTTGGGCGGCGCTGGCTTCGCGGCGGCACGCTGCGCAGAAACGGCGGAAAGGGCGGCCGCGCTGCTGCGGAGGCCTGCCGAGCTGCCCGCGCTGGCCTCGCCGCACCTCCCGGCGACGCAGGCGGCGGCGCTCCTGCTCCGGGTCTGCGGCGCGGGCAAGCTCACCCACCTCCTGCGCTCCAACCCGCCGGCCGACACCCGGGCCGCTGCAGCAGCTTATAAGACGACGCCCTGCTGGAGACCTACCAGGAGCTCACGCGTTTCGACCCCTTGCAGGAGGAGCAGCGGGCGCAGCGCCGCCCCCCGCTGCGGCTCGGGGGCCGGGGCCTCCGGAGCCAGGCCGCGCCGGCGCCGGCCGCTTGGGCGGCTTCCTGGGCGCAAAACCTGGCCGGGGCCCGGGCGCGCGGACGGGCCTGCCGGAACTGGCCGACTTGGAAAACCCCCCCCTGCCTCTGGCGGCCGCTTGCCGGGGGGCGCTGGCCGAGCTGCTGCCAGACGAGGAGGAGAGACGCACGCGGCCGCGGCCCTGGGGGCAGCGCAGCTAGCACACGACCCTCTCCCGAAGCTCCATCGGGCGCTCACGCAAAGACTGGACAAAAACCACCACGACGCCTTGCTGAGCATCCTGGGAGCGGAGGGGAGGGCGCTGCTGCGCTCCTGCGGAGGGCCCCGCGCGGCGGGCTGGCAACTGGCCAACGGCGGCCCGCGGCAAAGGCTCGACGACGCCGACTACTGCGCCACCTCGCGAGCCTTGCTTGGGCAGGACAGCGCGCCGGCCGGGGCCAGCTGCAGCAACCGCCGCAGGACGGGCGAGAGGGCAGGGCAGCTCTGCGGCCAGCCACTCTGCCCGAAGGCCCGCCACGCTTTCCGCTGCTCCTGCGGAGGGGGGCTGAAGGCACGGAGCCGAGATGTGGAGGACATCTGGGAGCACATCCTTTCAGAATGCGGCTTCCGGGTCGGGCGACAGGTGCCCGCGCCTGCCTGGGACAGGTGGAATTGGCGCTGCCGCAACGCAGCCTGCGCCGCCCGCGGCGCCGCTGACGCCCCACCGCCCGGGCCTTGCGCTACCTGCGGGGCCGAGCTTGCGACGGAGCGCGAGGAAGCTTTGCTGGACCTGGAGGCACAGCGGGGCGACTGCCCGCGGCTGTATGCGGACGTTACCGCCCGGTACAGCGCGCCTGGAGACGCGCGGGCCCTGGCGGCGGCCGCAGAGGGCGACGGCGCCGTCAACGCCCAAGCGGAGGCGGACAAACGGCGCCGTTACCCCGGGCACAGGGCGCCCTGGCCCGCCCTCCCGCATGCGCTGGAGACAGGCGGGCGCCACGGGAAGGCCGCGCTTCGCCTCCTGCGCTGGCTCGCCCGGGGCCAGGCGCAGCAGCTCGGCGAAGGCCCGGCGGCGGGGGCGGCGGCCAGCGCGCTGACGGCGCGGTGGGGCGCGGAGCTCAGCGTCGCCCTTTAACGCGCGACTGCCCGGCAGCTGCGGTCATCCCTTGGGTTCGACCGCAGGGGGGCCGCGGCCGGGCTGGCCGCAGGGCTCGCCGGCTAGGCCGGCCGGGCACCGCCGGGCGCGCGCTGGGCAGCTCTGGGGCGGACCGCAGGCGCGGAGGTGGAGGTCTACTGGTTCGTCGTGGTCCCCTACATCTTCATCCAGGCGCTGGGCGTGTTCAGGGGGATGCTTGCGTTGATTTTTCTTCATTGCAGGAGGAGGAGGAGGAGGAGGAGGAGGAGAAGAAGAGAAAGAGGAGGCCGAGGAGGAGGAGGCGGGAGGGGGAGGAGGAGTCGGGAGGGGGAGGAGGAGACGGGAGGAGGGGGGAGGGGGAGGAGGAGGAGGGGAAGAGGAATTGGATGCGAGGGCGTCGATCACGGATGAACCTGCGCACATTTTCGGATGTCAAGCAGGAGGAAGGAGGGAGGAGGGAGGAGGAGGGAGGAGGAGGAGGAGGAGGAGGGAGGAGGAGGAGGAGGAGGAGGAGGAGGAGGAGGAGGAGGAGGAGGAGGAGGAGGAAGGGGGGAAGGAGAACGAGGAGGAGGAGGAGGAGGAGGAGGAGACAGAGCGCGGCATGGAGGCACGGAGAGAGGGGGACCAAGAGGGAGGGAGGGAGCGATGGAGGAGTGGGAGGGGGAGGAGGGGGAGAACGACGACGACGACGACGACGACGACGACGACGACGACGACGACGACGACGAGGGCGACCTCGTCGACGACAGCGACGGCGAACTCCTCCGGCAGACGCCGCCGCCGGCCTGGCCGGCGCCGCCGCGCAGCCACACGAGCACCCCGCGGCGGTCAGGCATTACCCAGCGGCGGCGCCGCCGCAGCAGCAGGTCGGCGCATCGACCTGCGAAGAGGAGGGGGAAGAGGAGGAGGAGGAGGAGGAGGAGGAGGAGGAGGAGGAGGAGGAGGAGGAGGAGGAGGAGAGGGAGAAGAAGAAGGTGCAGAAGACAGAGGAGGAGGAGGTAGACGTGGAGGACACCCAGGGGCCGTCCAGAGGCTTCAGGGAAAGGAGAAAGATTAGGAGGGCCTTCGCAAATCCAAGATGCATGACTGATGTTGCAGTAACACCCTCCTCCAGGGTCCCCTTTTTTCGTACGTCTCTACAAAGATTTGCTGTTGATGCGAGAGGGAGCCGTTGGAAGACAACCGTATTGAAAATCCTGAGTCGTGCCAAGCACAGCTCCTCGGAATTTTACGCCGCGTATCAACGGTGCTGTTGCGTCCTGACGATCCTGAATCGCGCCAGATCACCATTCCTGAAACTTCAGCACCGCGAATCAACGTGACAGTTGCGCCCTGACAGTCGTGCATCGTCTCAAAGCACCATTTCTGGGACGCCAGTCATGAGAACCCTTGAAGCCGCTGTAAACTCTTAAGACGAATGTGCGCGGCGCTAAGGCGAGAACATCATTTTGAATTCGACCGCCCTCCATAAAACGACCCGCCCTCCATCGGTGAAGCTGTTACCAACTCTTAAGACGAGCGTGCGCGGCGCCGAGGCGAAAGCCACATTTTGAAACCACCCGCCCTCCATCCGTGAGACGCACGACTCGCCCTACCGACGCGTCTCGCGGTGCGACATGGAGGAGTTGCTTACAAGGAGAACGGATGGAGCAGGAGGCCAAGGAAGAGGAGCCGGAGGATGCTGAGGAACGCAACTGAAGAATCACCATAAACCTGCGGAGCTCCGCGAGGATGTCTTTGATCGGCATTGGGCCCCCCTGTCGCGCATCCGGCGCCGCCCATGATGAGCTCCGCGCGCCAAGGAACGGGGGTCCTTCGCCGAAGGTTGATGTGTTTACCATGCTAGTCCTAACCCACTGCGCTTTCCAACCTTCCTCCTCCTCCTCCCCATCTTGCCTCATCCTTCTCCCCCTCCTGCCGAGAAATGGTGGAGGAGGGGGAGGAGGAGGAGGAGGAGGAGGAGGAGGAGGAGGAGGAGGAGGAGGAAGAGGAATAAGAAGAAGAAGAAGAAGAAGAACAAGAAGAAGATAAGGAATCTGAGGAGGAGGAGGAAGAGGAGAGGAGGAGAGGGAGGTGGAGGAGAAGGGAGAGGAGGAGAACAAGAGGGAGGAGGAGGAGGAGGAGAAGGAGGAGGAGAAGGAGAGTAGGATGGAGGACGGAGGAAGAAGAAGACGAAGGAGAAAAGGAAGAATATGAGGAGGAGGAGGAGGAGGAGTAGGAGGAGAGGAGGAGAGGAGGAGGAGGAGAAGGGAGAGGATGAGAACGAGAGGGAGGAGGAGGAGGAGGAGGAGCAGGATGAGGAGGAGGAGGAGGAGAAGGACAGGAGGAGGGGGAGGAGGGGAAGGAGGAGGAGGAGGAGGAAGGGGAGGAGGAGGAGGAGGAGGAGGAGGAGGATGAGGAGGAGGAGGAGGAGGAGGAGAGAGGAGAGGAGAGAGGAGAGAGGAAAGAGGCGAGAGGAGAGAGTAGACAGGGAGAAGAGAGGATAGCGGAGGGATAGAGGAGAGGGAGAGAGAGAGAGAGAAAGAGAAAGAGAGAGAGGGGGCAGAGAGTGAGAAAGAGAGAGAGAGAGAGTGAGAGGAGAGAGGAGAGAGAAGAGAGGCAAGCTAGGTGCGCTCGCGTCATATCTGACGTCCTACTCCTCCCTCCCATCCCTTACCTCTCGATTCGCACAAGTGGATGTCGCAGCATGGCATAGCATTACATGGCAGATCATGGTGTTGAATATTCACGCGCAGCATTCATAGCATGACAGGGCTTCTGCGGCCCAAAAAATCAACGAATCGACACCGAATGTGTATTCACTTCGGATGTGTTGTTCGGGATTCCAGTTTCCTAATTTCGGGGCCTACTTGGAAGGACCGAAAACCATGCCGTGGCATGGCGCTGGAAATAATGACGCCAGCGCTGCAGTGGGAGCACGATTCGAGACGAGCGGAAGCGCGGAAATGAGGCCAGCGCTGCAGCGGGAGCACGATTCGAGACGAGCGGTAGCCCGAAGATGAGACCAGCGCTTCAGCGAGAACAGAAGATCAACAACATCCAAGCGCGGAAACGCGAAAGTTTAGACGCGTAGCCTGACATAGCATGGCGTGGCGACGCCCAAAAGTGCGGGGGGGCGTTGCGGCCCAAAAAATCAACGAATCGACACCGAACGTGTACGCACTTCCGAGGTTTTTGTTCGGAAGGTCATGCTCCAGTTGCTGTTGGCCCATTTGGAAGGACCGAAAACCATGCCGTGATATGGCACTGGAAACAATGACGCCAGCGCTGCATCGGGAGCACGATTCGGGACGAGCGGAAGCGCGGAAATGAGGCCAGCGCTGCAGCGGGAGCACGATTCGGAATGAGCGGTAGCCCAAACATGAGGCCAGCGATTCAGCAAGAGCAGCTTTTTGAACATAAACCCAAGCGAAAACCCAGCGACTGGGAATTCGGTGTGTAAAAAAACAGTACGCGGACGGGGGCCAGACATTTCCCGGACGCCACCAGGAGAGAGAGGAGAGTAGTATTCATACTGTTGAATTGTAGAAAGAAGAGAGGGGGGCAGAGGAAGGCGGGGGAGGAGAAGGAGGACGTAGGACGGTGGTGCCAGGAGGACAGGCAATGGAGGAGGAGGGGGAGGAGGAGGAGGAGGAGAAACAGGAGGAGGAGGAGGAAGAGTGATTTGCCGTTCCTTTGCCTCGGCGGCTGCGCGGCGGCGGCCCCTGCCCTCCCTCTTGGCGGCGGCATGACCTGCACCGTTCCTCACCGCGCGCCCTTTTGATCGGGGACGGGCAGCTTTTTGTTGGGGGGCAGTTTAATAGACCTCAAACAGACAAGGACACGAATTCCTGGAGGAGTTGGAGGAGCGGGAGCCCTCGTTCTGACCTGGGCGTGGATGAGCATGTCCCCTCCCCTCCCCCCAGAGTGGCCGCCAGGCGGTTGGCCCCGCCCCTGTTGTGTCGGCCCTTTCGAGGGCACGGACAAGTTTCCTTGTGAAGGGGAGGAGGGGGCGCGGGAGGAGGCCGAGGAGGAGAGGCGGGGGGAGGAGCGCGTCGGGCGGAGAAGGCGAGGGGAGGGGCGAGGGGGATGGCAAGAAGGAGGGCGAGGAGGCGGAGCAGGATTGACGCCACGGTCTTCGCCGATCTGAATCCAGCCAGCGTGGAGAGGCGGAGCAGGAGGAGCAGGGGCAGAGCGAGGAGGGCGAGGGGGAAGGCGAGCTGGCGCGCGGCGGAGAGCACGAGCCCCTGCGCAGCGCCAGCGGCTCGACAGAGCGCAGGCTTTGTCGCACGCCATGCCACTCAGCCCAGCGGCTCCAGGCGGATCAGCACGGCGTCGGCGAGCGGCACGGCGGGCATACGGGGTTTGTCGAGACTGCACGCTCTTGTCCTTGGCGCTTCCAGGCGGCACCCCTTCCTGAAGCCGTCGGGCCGCACCGCCGCAGTGGCACCGCAGACGAGGCAGACCACGGACGGCATCTCTCGCGCCGTAGTTGCGCGCCCCACACAAGTGCGACATCCGCCAGGAGAAGAGCGAGGAGGGTGGAGAGGAGGTTGAGGAGGAGGAGGAGGAGGAGGGCGAGGAGTGCGAGGGCGAGGAGGACGAGGCATAGGGAAAGGAAGAGGGCGAGGAGGGTGATGATGATGATGCCGATGATGATGATGATGATGATGCTGATGATGATGATGATGATGATGATGATGATGATGACGACGATGATGATGATGATGATGATGATGATGATGATGATGATGATGATGATGATGATGATGATGATGATGATGATGATGATGATGCTGAGGATGAGGATGAGGATGAGGATGAGGATGAGGATGAGAGATGAGGATGAGGATGAGGATGAGGATGAGGATGAGGATGAGGAGAGGGATGAGGAGGAGGAGGAGGAGGAGGAGGAGGAGGAGGAGGAGAGGAGGATGAGGATGATGATGAGGAGGAGGAGGAGGCGGAGGAGGAGGACGGAGGAGGAGACGAGGAGGAGGAGGAGGAGTGCGAGGGCGAAGAGTACGAGGAGTAGGAGAGGAGGAGGTCACGAGGTGTAGGAGGAGGAGGAGGAGGAGGAGGAGGAGGAGGAGGAGAAGGTAGGAGGAGGAGGAGGAGGAGGAGGAGGAGGAGGAGGAGGAGGAGGAGGAGGAGGAGGAGGAGGAGGAGGGGAGGAGGAGGAGGGGGAGGAGGAGGAGGAGGAGGAGGAGGAGGAGGAGGAGGAGGAGGAGAGCGAGGAGGCAGGCGGCCGCGGAGCCGCGCTGCCGCCCGCCCGAGGTGGCTGCGGGGCTGCTGGCCGGCTGGGCCCCCGCCGCCGGCGCGGCCCGCGGGGCCGCCGTTGGCGCCGCCGCGCAGGGCGGCGCCAGGCGCCTTTCCCGCCCTCGCCATTATCGCCCTCGTCCCCCTCCTCATCCTGCTGCTGCTGCTCCTCCTCCTCCTCCTCCTCCTCCTCATCCTCCTCCTCCTCGTCCTCCTCCTCCTCCTCCTCGTCTCCTCCTCCTGATTCCTCCTCCTCCTCGATTCCTCCTCCTCCTCCTCCTCTCCTCCTCCTGCTCCTCCTCCTCCTCCTCCTCCTCCTCCTCCTCCTCCTCCTCCTCCTCCTATTCCTCCTCGCCCCCCTCGCCCTCGTCCTCGCCGCGGTCGGCGTCCGCTGCTCGGGTCGGAGGAGCCTTGAGATCCTGGCGTCGCCATTATTTTAACGAGCATTTTCGGCGGGAGTCGGGTCCCAGGGCCATACCAGATGGATCCGGCTCGAGAAATGGCGTAGAAGAACTGGGTCTGGGGCCCTGGCCATGATGTTCGACGGTGCTGCAATTGTTCCGCAACGTCGGGTCTCAGACAACCCTGACATCTCCAGACATTCGGCGTCTCGGAAAGATCGTGACTGAGTTGTTTCATCGTGTTGGGCCTCTCGGGGCCCTTACTGGACCTTGTGACTGTCAAAGCACGATTCGGCCGCCTCGTATAATACTATGTGGCCCTCATGTAACCTCCAGCTCACATCAAGTGCGTTTAACAAATGTGTTGTTCGAACGTGTAGCGCTTTCAATTCCGTGGCCTGTCACCAGCCTGCAAGCGGCTTGCTTTTAGCGCGCGCTTGAGTTACGACCGCTGTCAGCTTGTGTTTAAGAGTGCGTAGCATGTTGTGTTCGCATTGCTTTCAGCATGCGGTTCACTTACGTTTCGCCTGTATTTGGCGAGCGACGTGGCTTGCATTTAATTTGCCCGTCGCTTGCCGCTCGCGTGCCTATCGCTTCCTTGTGTGTTGACTTGAACCTGCCCGCAGCTTCCCTTCAAAGTGCCCGTGTTGATGCGCAGCAACCTGGTTTCGCAATGAATTGTCGAAACCAGGTTGCTGCGCATCTCAAATTTGATCTGGTCACCCTCCTAATTATCTTCTTTCTCTTAGTTCTCTGCCTCGTCGTTGTTCTCCCGCACCTTCCCCCAATTCCAAGACCTACTGATGACTCCAATAACCCTGGTGGGAACCCTGAAGCCCTCCTCCCATCACAGTCCTCGATATCTTGTTCATCTTCCCTTCCTTTCCCTTCCCCTCCTCCTCGTTCTCTTCCCCCCGCGTAAACCGGGGGCCCGGTGAGCACGCCGGGATAGCCAGGGAACCCAAAGTGGTCGGCGCCGCCTGTATCGGCAGGGTACAAATAGAGCCGGCGACCAACCGCAGGACTGGCGGAGGACGGCGAGGGGGCTTGGGCGCCCATGCCTCCTGGGAGTCCCTCCCCTAGGGTGGGGTGGGCATTCGGTGGGGCGGGCTCGGGATGCCCCCCGTTGCCAGGCGCCCTCTGGCTCGGGGTCCCTGAGCTCGTCCTACTTGGTGTCCCTCCTCCCCCTGGGGTCCCCTCGTGGGGCGGGCTGGTGCGCGCTCCCTCGGGCCTGCGACGCGCCCATCGCCTGTTCCGAGGGCGCGATGGGTGCAGCGCGCCACAGCGGGCCTCACACGCCCGATTCGCGGCGCGAAGGTACCCCTCGCCAGCGCCGAGAGCGCGAGGAGCGCGGGAGGCGGGGACCCGTCTGTTGTCGCGTGGGGCCCCTGGCCCCCAGGGCGGTGCGCCGCATGGCGCATCCAGTGCGGCCCGCACGGCCCTGGGGTTTCGTCGGCCCTGGCTGCCCTCTTAGTGGGGGCTGCTGGGGTCCGCTGGGGGCCCCCGCGGCACGGGGCGCCCTTTTTGGGGGGCTGTTTTTCAGCCGAGGGCGGCCCAGGCTCGACGCCTAAGGCAGCCCAGTGTTTGGGCTGCCCTGCGCTCACAGAGTCCAGTTGCGCCAATGCTGTTGATCCTGTGAGCCGTCCTCGTTCTCTTGACTCTCGCCCTCTTCCTCCTCCGCTTCCTTCTCATACTCATCCCCGTTCATACCCTGCCCCGTTCCCCTTTTCCTTCTTCTCCCCCCCTTCCCTTCCCTCCTCACTACACCCTCCTCTACATCCTCCTCCCTTAATTCGGTGGCAAGGAGTCCCGGGTGATCGCGCACTTGTTGTCATCGATGCTTTGATCGTCGAGGCTCGGAGAAGGAACCGAAGACTTCCGAGTTGACGGCCGCAATGCATTTGTTCTGTCGCCAGCGCTGCGTCGTAGCTTTACCATGTGTTTTCTGACCGTGCACGCCACGGCGACATGCAAACAACCCAGTATTGCGAGGTACGTTACCCCGAGCCGGGGGAAGTTTCAGAGTCGTTCGGCCATTGGGGGCAGATGGTGTTGGATATCGTGTCGGTCACTGGACGGGTGGGTCCTCCAGGGTTCGCACAGCTTGCCGCGAGCCCCTCTGTGTCAAGACCATCAGAAGAACATTGAGAACGTGTCTCGACGAAATTCGCCGCGTCGAGATCGACAAAGACGTCCTGAGGGTTCTGAAGGTCATCTGGGTATCCATGGATTGGCTGGCCGCGGCCGCCAAGTGGATCACAGGTGCAGAGGTGTGGGCGGATCGCAAGCCTTTCCCAGCCGCCAGATGCTTCAGACAGACAGGCTCCATCGTGTACGACTCTTCGGTATGCGCCGCCCTGGTCGAGGCCGACTTCCGCCAAAGATGGGGCGTTCCCCTGGCGGAGTGGGACGAGGAGAGCGCTGCCGTCCGCCAGCCGCCAGCGTGCTGTTACGAAGGTCCCGCGTCTCCGGGTGCAGCCTGAAGTTCTTAACGTGGCAGTTGACCGAACCAAGGCGCCAGACAAGATTGACGACTACGAAGCTTGCGTGGCCGCGCTGCGCGTGGCGGGCTGGGTCACAAGAGCCAAGGGCATCGTGGAAGAGATTTTGAATAGTGGCGTCTTCTGGCGGGATGTCGTCCTGACCTGCACGATCGGGAATACGGAGAAGGAGATCGCGGGGCCAGAGGCCACAAGGGTAGACATCCCCCAGCGCCCATCGGCCCCATGGAAGTTCCTTGAATTGTATGATGCTGCTCGCCGCGCGGAAGACGGCAGAAATATTGCGAGGGCGGCGCAAGCCAGCCGTAGTGACAATGCGCATTCCGAACCCTTTGCCCTCGTGGAAGCATAGCAAGGCAGTGTTCCTTCTCGGGTCGGGCGGGATCCCGTCGAGCTTAGACCCTCTGAATCAGATCACTTCAGTTTAGCCAGGTCAATATCCCACCCATTAGAAATAAGGTGAACCAAAACCCCAGGCCCTGTGGGGACCCCGCCGTGTTGAGATCGGTTGGACGCAAGCTGAGGCTCATAAGTTCACGGACTCCTGCTGTGGTGGGGCCGGTCTGATGCCATCTTCAGGCGATGCGCGCGCCGTGTTGTCGCCGCGGTCCCCTCGTCAGGGCCTCTTGAGGCCATGTTGGGCCATCTTGCGATCAACTTCACACGATATGCAGGTCGCGGGACCGCCCATTGCGTCGATTTGCGAACGACATCGGGTGCATCTTGGCATTGTCGTCAGGTCGTTTTCAGATCGCATTCGCGTCATGTTCGGATTGTGCGGGCGTCGCTTGGTCAGTTTGGAGTCGCCCTTGATGTGCCTGGGTCCATCTTCTGGCCTTTTTTTGCCGTCGCGGCATCGCCCGCTGCTCATCAGACGGGTCATCGCATAGGCAGCTTGAGGCTCTCAAGATGCCCTGTCTCGCCGCAGTCCTGGAGCTTTACCTGGGGTCGCTCTCCTCCTCCAGCTCCTTGTGAGGGCTCGTTTTGGGTCTCGGGAAAGTCGGGCAGGTGCAGGACCTGTTCACCACGGCGGCGCAGGTCTTGGAGATCGGGAAGGATAGGTTCAATGAGGCTGCAGTGGCCACGTCGGACATGAAGGCCCACCAGGACCAGATTCGGTACAGCTGTGTCTCCAGAAGCCTGATAGCGCACGGCGTTCCTCCAGAGTTTGCTGCTGCTGCGATCCGCCTGCGCAGAGCCCCCCTATCCAGACTGAGGTCATGAGCACGACGACGCATGAAATCAGAAGGTCGGGGTGCTTACCAAGGGGGGAGGCCACGGCGGGTATGTTTGCCTGGCTTACTAACCATCGAGGGTGTTTTCGCCGCGTGCATGGACCGTTTATCCCGGGCCACAGTTGGTTTCATGTTGGGCAGCCCTCGCTCATCTGTTCCACTTGGAGCGACAATCTGTCCAGCTTCGCGCCCATCGTGGACAAAGCAGCTTGCTTGCACCATGGCGGCTTCGGAGAGGTCTTTGGAACGAGCACCGCCTTTTCATGAAGCCGCACAGCAGGGAGGTGATCATAGCGAGCCACGCCACCTTCGAGAGTCATATCTTCCAGGATACTTTCGGGTCTCGTTGGGCTGTCCTGCTGCTGGTGAGGATCCTAGGCCCTCGGACACTCTCACGCAGATCTCAAACTTCTAGAAGAACGAGAGGTTCTTGACCATCAGCTGCGCTCCCATCACTAGGTGGCGAAAGAAGCTCAGCGACGTTGCTGGTCGCTTCATCAGAGCCAGGGCTGTGCCGGGCCCCCCGTGCAAGGCCGCAGAGAGCTATTTCGACGCCAGTCCAAGCTCGTCGCGTGGATGCTCCAGCTTCGCTGCGAGCCGATTTGCGAGACGATGCAGCAGTTCTGGTCACGCGGGGACCACTCTGTCGAGCAGGCAGCGTGCACGCAGTGGTTGAAGCTGCACCTGTTTTCATGTCTGTGTTGGCTGTTGAATTTGCAGCGACACCAGCGACACCCAGACCTGCTGGACAGCCAGAGCCGGCAAGCGAGCCAGACTGCGACTGGGTCAATGCGAAAAATGACCTCCCGATTTAATCCGATGGGGACACGAGACCCCAAAATTATTTGGAAATTGGCAGGCGAGCTCTTGCGCAGCATAGGTTTTTTCCTCAGACAGAATATGAGGAACTCGCTCTTGAGTTACTGTGGCACTCGGGACACTCCGCCTCCGACGGGCGCATCATCATGCAAATCCTCCTTCACCTCCTCCTGTTCGCCGGGACGACGACGACAAGAGCGTGGAAGACGACCGCAACGCTGACGAGTTCGACGAGACAACGGCGACGGCGAGGACGACGACGGCGAGGGCCACGACGGCGAGGACGACGACGAGAATGACGACGACGGGAATGGTGAAGACGACACGGACGCAGACGAACGCAGCGACGAGGGCGACGAGGGCGACGACGATGACGACGGCGGCGAAGACGATGACGACCCCGATGGCGAGGACGACGACTGCGGCGACGACGATGAGGCTGACGACAACGACGACGAGGGGGAGGTGAAGCATGAGGAGGGGGAGGAGATCGAAGAGGAGACCGCGTAGGAAGGAAACGACGACGACGACGACGACGACGACGACGACGACGGCGGTGAGGGGTGGCTGGCCGATTCCCCGCCTCCTGCTTGGAGGGCCGCCCTGCCGCAAGCGGCGCAGCACCACGCGCAGCACCAGGGCGCCCCGCCGCCGCCGCCGCCAGCGGCAGCGGCGTCGACGACGACGCCGGCGACGGCGACGACGACGCCGACGACGGCAATCGCCACGACGCCGGCGACGACGACGACGCCGGCGAGGATGACGGAGGGGCGACGGGCGATGGCGGCGGCGGCGGCAGCTGCGAAGGGGAAAGGAGGAAATGGAGGGCAGGAGGAGGAGGAGGAGGAAGAGGAGGGGCGATCGCGTCGTGTTTTGTCTTCTGGGGTCGGGCAAAGGAGGAACGGAAGGAGGAGTGCCTATCGGGCCGACACACTCGGGACGTTCACGTTGACTCGGGGCGTTCACGTTGACGTCTGTTTGGGGGGCATTTTCGACATGTCATGGCATTGCCTTGCTAGGTGTGAAGGGCTTCGTCTCTCGCACGCCAGTGTTACAGGATACTGAATGGATCTACCTGATCTAGTTGGCCCCCTCTCTTCTTCAGGTTTCATCCGCAACACACACACACACACACACACACAAACACACTTCCTTGCAGCCGTAGCTGGCAGTGGGGAGGCAAGGATCAAGCTGGCGCCGTGGTGGTGATGGCGACTCTGTAGATGTTGATGATGATTGTGATGATCATGATGGTCTTAATGATTACTATGGTCATTATCGTCACCATTCATATGGTTAAATGCTGGTGATGAGTGCGATGCTGATGGCGGTGGCGATGGTGATGGTGAGCATCATCAGATGCATCATCACCACCATCGCCACGTAGACCGCGAAACCCTCCCCGGGTATGGGGGGCTTCCCAGAAAACCTATCCAGCTGCCTGCCGCAGGTCCCGCCACCGTGCCAGCCCAGTTCTTTCGGAGGCAGCTCGTCGAGGGGCGACACGAAGCCGCAACATGTGAAGCGAGCGGCGGCAAAAGTAAAGGTCCGTACGCCGTGCCATGTCACCCCTTGGCCGCCTCGAGCTGATCTTGGGGCATGTGGGGTCGTTCTGCGGCGGAGCAAGAGTATAAAGGACACGATGATAAGGATTGGGGGAGGATAGAGAGGAGGAGTTGGAGGAGGAGGAGGAGAAATACAATGAGGAGGAGGAGGAAGAGGAGGACATTCGTAATGGACAAGTTCGATGTGGAGCATGATGGTGCTGATGATGTTGAGGAGGAGATGTCGGTTGGATCTGTTTTCAGCACTGCTCCCCGAGAACCACCTTGGGGCTCTGGGGGCCGTCTTGGGTGTTGTGCTGCCCGTCTGGAAAGTTGTCTGAGCCGTCGTGGGGGCGTCTTGGGCCGTCGAGGGGCCCTCTGAGGCCGCAGTGGGCCCCTCTGTGGGCCCGATTGGGCAGCGTGGGGTCTCTTTGGGCCGTCCTGGCCAGTCTACGGGTCCTGTTGGGCCGCTTGGAGCCTTGAGGCCAGCTTGGAGGTTCCCAGGGCCGTCTTGAGCTGAAGGAAGCCCAGAAAAGGTGAAAACTCGAAACGATGTGTTCTCTTCGGAGCCCATGCGACGCTGGCCCCTTCGGGTCCTATTGGGGGTCCTCCTGTGGCTTGGACCGTCTTGGAGGCAGATTGAGTCATCTTTGGGGCATAGTGTGTCCTATTGGCAGCCTCGGTGGCCTGCCTCGGTCGCGTTGGAAGCTAGGGGGCGCGCAACCAGAGTTCTGTGAGCAGAAGCGTGGCGTCGGGAGCGCGGGCCCATTGATCTGTTTTGCGGTGATCGTGCCTTTTGTTGGGGAAAGGGTGGCTAAAGGGCGTTGCACGCGCGTGAGTGTTGGGGGGCCCTTCGAAGGTGACAGACACCCTGCCGTACAGCACCTGGGCCTTCTTCCACGCCCAAGCGTGCCAGGGGGCACGTTGGCAGATTGATGGAGACGAGCATGAGGATGAAGGTGAGGATGAGGATCGGGATGGGGATGAGGATGAGAATGTCCATGAGGATGTTGATGAGGATGGTGATTCTGATGACGGTGGTGGTGGTGGTGGTGGTGGTGGTGGTGGTGGTGGTGGTGGTGGTGGTGGTGGTGGTGGTGGTGGTTGTGGTGGTGGTGGTTGCGGTTGTGGCTGTGCTTGTGGTGGTGATGATGATGATGATGATGGTGGTGGTGACAACGGTGGTGGTGGTGATGGTTGCAATTGTGATGGTGGTGATGACGACGACGACGACGACGACGACGACGACGACGACGACGATGGTGACGGCCTTGCCCTCCGGCCGCCACCTCGGCGGAAGCCGAGGCCAGTTCGCGCCAAGCGGCTGGCCCCCGCGAGCGCACGAGGCCCTGTCGCCGCCCGCGGCCTGCGCGCGGGGCTTGGGTGGAGGTCCTCCCCCGTCCTTCCCTGTCTCCTCCTGCCCTCCTCCCTCCATCTCCCCGTCCCTCTCGCCTCTTTCGCCTCCTTCTCCACCACCGTGTCCAGCGCCCATGCCCCCTCTTGTTCCTCCTCCTCCTCTTCGTCCTCCTCCTCCTCCTCCTCCTCCCCCTCCTCCTCCTCCTTCTCCTCCTCCTCCTCCTGCGCCTTCGCCTCCCCCAGTTCCCGCCTGTTGCTGCCAGCGGAGGGGAGTCCTTAGGATTTCCGACGTGTTCCAAGGGCTCTTCTTCCCCCAGGAGCTTCAGGGCAAGCTGCCAAATGGTGCTACAGAGAGCCTGCGCTAGGTGTAAGTTGAGGCCTTTTGTAGACACTCCAGGAGGGAGGCCCGCGGTGGCGGGTGGGGGCGCGAGGCCAAGAGAGCCTTTGCGATCTTGGCCAAGCGGGTGGTTGACGCCACCGGGGCGTAGGAGTTGGGCGACGAGGGCGTTCGGCCGAGCCCGCCACCGTGGTTGAGTCGTGAGCCACAGGCATCTTGAATAGACGTTCGGATACAAGTAGTACGACCAGTGGGCCGTGGATCAGAGGCAACCTAGATACACGTTGGGGTGTCTTGGGTGATGCTTCCGAGGCATGTTCGGAGGCTCCTGCAGGGGTCTCCTGGTGCTTCTCCGAGGCCTCTTGGAGCTTTTTGGGGGCCTCCTGGAAGGCGTCTTGGGGGCTTCTTGGCGTTTCCCGGGGGCCTCTTGGGGGCGTTTTGGGGCCCCCCTGGGGCGGAAGGCCCGACATGCCGGCTCGTGGGGCGTCTCTCGTCGGTCCTGTTTTGTGGTTGCATCTTCGGCGGGGGGCCTCCTGCGTCGTCTGGGGCCGTCGTGGGTCGCCCGGGAGGCCTCCTGGGAGCTGCGTGGCGCGGTTTCCGAGCCTCGTGGGCCGTCTGGGAAGCGTGTGCGACGCCCTCAGGGCCGAAGAGTATGCGATACCGTGAAGACAGAAAGCCAGCATTCCACCAGGTTTCCACGGTCCTGGCTCCTTAGGGCCTTTCTTGCCGTCCTTTGAGGGCTCGTTTGGGTAATCTTGGAAGCCTCCAGGACGGTATCGAGACCATCTTGAGCCAGCTTGGGTTGAGAACCGTCTTGGCATCAAGCGGAGGCCTCATTTGGATTTGAGGGAGCAACGTTGACTACTGTCTTGGGGGCTTCTCGGGCAGCGCTGAAGCCTTAAAAGAGTTCCGGGGGACTCTGGACCACCCCCTGGTGAGTTCGTCCGGGGGTCCCGCCGTGCCAGCCCTCCCCCCTCAAATTTGCAGTTTGCGGTCTTTGGGGGGCTTAGCGGGGAGGGAATTATTCCAAATTCCAGGAGGCCCAGACATGACCGCGTCGTAAAACAAAAAACATAACGGAGGTGTCTCTTTGTTTACGGTCTCCTCCGGCCCTTGCCGTGCGCTGGGGCCATCAAGAAACGGTTGAGGATGAAAAACCGGTCTCCGGGAAAGGGTCGGGATTTCTGGAGACCGCGTAAGCAAGGGCGCGCTCGAGGGCGCGAAGTGCGCGAAGCTATTCGCACTTCGCGCTTCGCGCAGCGCGAAGCGCGAAGTTGGGAGCCATTGGCACGGGAAACATCAGCATGTCGCACCTCTGGGGGCCCACAGGGGGTCGGCGGACTTCTTGCCAGGAGAGGGGCAGGGCCGCCCAGCGAACTGGCGGGGCAGTGGTCCGAAAAACTGCCCTGTCGGGAGCGTGCCGGGCCTCGCGGCCCTGCCTTCCCCAAAACCCGCTCGCGGGGGAGGGGGGCAGGCACGCTGCCGAGTCCAGAGGCCAAGTGGTGTGCACAGACTGGGGCACATGATTCGACGTTTCTAAGATCCTCATTCGTGTCCTCCTCCTCCTCCTTTTCCTCCCCCTCCTCCTTTTCCTCCTCATCTGTCTCCCCTGCCTCCTCCTGGTCCTCCCCCCCGTCCCCCCTTCTCCTGTCGGTGGAAGGCGAGGAAGAAGGATGGCAGGCAGGCAGGGCAGGAGGGACGGGAGGCAGGCGGGCATCAGTTTCTGATCAGCGACAACGGAGGGAGAAGGAAACAGCACGTTTCCTCATTTTCATCCTCCCCCCTGCACCCTTGCATATCACAGCGTGATCAAGAAAAGACTCCAGAGGAACCAATCTTCCCTTCCTCCCCATGCCCCGTCCTTTACATCCGTCATCGTCGTCCTCCGGATCATCCTCCCTCCTCTTCATCCCCCTCCATCGCCTTCGTTCTCTCCTTCCTCCTCCGCGCGTGGGCGTGTCGCTGTCCCCGCCGTACAACGTCAAGCTCGTCAAGCCCGAGAACCTTCGCCCATGCCGCACCTGGTCACTGCGACAGGGAGCTCAAGGCCGCCCTGCGCCTTCGGCGCGTGCTGGGTTGCCGTCCTCGTCGGCTAGGGCCAGCTCGGGTTCGAACTCAATTGCACCGACCACTCCAACCCCTCAGGTCCCGGACCCACTTGTAAAATGACAGACTGGCTGAAACCACAGGCCCTCTTTCTCCCCATCTCTCCTCCCCAATGGGGGGATGAACGATGGCACGCAGGCAGGGAGCGGGCGGGCAGGCAGGACGGAAAAGACGAAACGAGGGACAGGCGTGGATCAGGTTCTGGGTAGCGAGACCACAGGGACAGGGGAACAGGCCTCCTCCTCCCCTCCTCCCCTCCTCCCCCGCTTTGCCGTCCCCGCGTGTTGTTGCTGCGCGGTTGTTTCTTCCGCCGTCTCCGCTTCGCGAAAGCGGTAACCTTGTTGAACATCCTTTTGCACTTGTTCATCGCCGTCCTCTTACATGCTCCTACTGTTCCATTTCTTTCTCCTCCTCCTCATCCTGCTCCTCCTGCTCCTCCTCCTCGCCCCCGGAAAAAAAAGACCACCGAGGCCATAGAGGGGGGGCGGGCGAGGCTCGCGATCATCATCCTCCTCCTTTTCCTCCTCCTCCTCCTTCTCCTCCTCCTCCCCTCTCCTCATCCTCTCCTTCCTCCGTCTCCATCATTCCCCTCCTCCTCCTCCTCATCCTTATCCTCATCCTCTCCTTCCTCCTTCTCCCTCCTCCTCCTCCTCCTCCTTCTCCTCCGCCTCCTACGCCTCCTCCTCCTCATCATCCTCCTCCTCCTCCTCCTCATCCTCCCCTTCCTTCTTCTCCCTCCTCCTCCTCCTCCTCCTCCTCCTCCTCCTCCTGCTCAATATGATCAGGCTGCATCATCTTCAACTGGGTGAAGGTTTGGACCCTCTCGTGGCCTACACGGGCCATGTGGCCTTTCACTGGGCCACGGTTGTCTGGGACAGTTTTCCTAGTGCTTCGATTCTGAGCTCCACCATCGATTCGGCATTGCGTAGGACTGGTGCCAAGGAGTGTCCGTGGCAAGGCGCCTCAACTCCTGCTGATGTGGCGGTCTTGTCGTTGCAGCGGACCGGTTGGAATTTTCCAGACTTTGCAACAGTTCGTTCGGATTTAGGACAGGTGTTGAATTGAACGCAGTTGTCGCCAGTTGAGTTTAGACTGCAAGTACGGGCTGGTGCAATGCGGGCCTCGGACAGGCACGCTCTTGGGCAGCACGGTTCGTTCGGGAGCGTTGCGAGTGACTTTTCAATGTTGCCGCGTTTCTGGGATGCCCTTAACCCTCTCCTTCGCTCCTCCTCCTCCTCTTCATCCTCATCTTGGGATCCCAAGCATCAGAGGGCGCTGCGAAGTTTGATGTGCAATGTGCATTGGCCGCAGGCGGGGGTCTGTGGCCACGGACTGCACCAATGCAGCAAGTGCAGGCTCTGTATGGAGGAGGTTGGGACTCTCTGGCATAGGCAGTACCGGTGTGTGGCCCATGCTGCGTATCGCCGAGATGGAGTCTCGAGCTGGCTCGCGCGTCGAGCCGCGGGTCCAGGATGAGAGGGATGAGCTCGCTGAATCTTTGCTCGTGGCAGTTTCCCTTCACCCCTCGCTTTTGTTCCAGCGCTGGAGCCTGAACAGATGGCTTCCTGGGTGAGCATGCCCGCTGGCGGCCGTCTCTCGGGTTTTATTTTCTCGGACGGGTCGACCTTCTAGCCCGGGTTCCCTGGGATTACCAGGGTTGGCTGGGCTCCTGCTCAGGTCGACAATGTAGGTGCTGTCGTAGCAGCGTGCTGCGGCCCCGCACCTTTCTCCCACGCGCCGAGACAGACGGCGAAGGATGGGAAGGATCATGCAGTATTCATGCTTACACAGTCTGCTATGGCTCCCGTCGAACTCTATTGTGACTGCCTGGGGACCTTGGAGGTTTTGTGGGGTGGCCAGGGCTCGGGGGCTTCGGCGGGGGCTTCGAGGGCCCACTTGTGGGCGCCGAACTGGACCAGTTTCGACGTGAGCGACGTAAAGGCAGTTCAGACGGCTGCCCACTGTTCGATGTCGGATTTCCACGATGGTAAAATCACCCCGTGGGAGACGCGTGCCGACGACTCTGCAGAACAGAACGCCAAGATGGGCGCTGCTAAGCACAGCGTTCAGGAGTCAGATGTCAACCTGTTCAGGTGCAGGGGTTCCAAGGGCCCTGCAGAGGAGTCGGCTCGTTGGGGTGCCCGGCGGGAGGTGCATCTGCAGCCCATGGGCAAAACGAGGCTCGGCACGGTAGGGCTCGACCCGTCCGTCGAGAGCATCGAGTGCTTGGAGCCCGCCCCCCCCGGGCCATCTACCGAGCCAGGGGCTCAAGGTGATGAGGAGGAAAGGGGGGATGTCATCTGCGTCGTCGGAGAGGGCGGGGGGATTCGTGAAGAACGGGCCGATGTGGCCACGTCAGGGTTTTATTGCTTAGGCCACGCCCTGATGCGTTGCGAGGTTGTGGGCCCGCGACGCACGGGCGAGGCGCTGTGTTTTTGTGCCTGGCGTTGCGGATGTTGCACGGATGTCAAGCCTGGGGCGGTGTGCAAGGGTCGCCCCAAAACTCCCCAAGTTGCCTCCCAGCTGAATCGTATCAGGGATGGCAAGTATCCGCACTATAGGACCACCACCAGGCATCTGTCCTTGAGTGTGCCTGGTCCTCGTCCTCATGCTCCTGCTCCTGCTCCTCCTGCTCCTCCTCCTCCTCCTCTCCTCCTCCTGTTTTTTTCTCCTCCTCTTCCTCCTCCACCTACTCCTCTTCCTCCTCCTTCTCCTCCTCCTCCTCCTCGTCCTCCTCCTCCTCACCCCATCATCATCCCCATCCTCATCTTTGTCCTCGTGAGCATCATCATCATCATCATCATCATCATCATCATCATCATCATCATCATCATCGTCAGCATCATCATCATCATCATCATCATCATCATCATCATCATCATCATCAAAGGCCGCCGCGCGCTCAGGCCATTGATGGAGCAGCGGCCTCCAGTCACCGCCCCCTTGCCATGCCCAAAAGGCAGGGGGCCGCTTGACGACACCCCGCACACCGCCAGGCCGCCATGGCCGTGCTCCGGAGCGCGGGCGCCGCGCACCTGCTGAGCACAGGACTCGCTATGCTGACCCTGAACTACTGGACGCTGAGCTTCAACTTCAACATCATCACGAACGCAGAGGGCCAGCACAGGCACACCACGCGGCCCATGAATTGCCACAAGTGGAACAATTGCACGCCGAACGTGACTGGCCACATGGACTACCCCACCCAGATTGCGAAGGACTACTGGACACTGAAAATCAACTCCAACATCATCACGAACATAGAGGGCCTGCACATGCAGGATTACAACACGCTGACCCTGAACGACTGGACGCTGAACTTCAAATTCAACATCCTCACGAACACAGAGGGCCAGTACGTGCAGGACTGGACGCTGAGCTTCAAGTTCAACATCTTCACGCAAACAGAGGGCCAGCACAGGCAGGACTACGACACGCTGACCCCGAACTACTGGACGCTGAGCTTCAACTTCAACATCCTCACGAACACAGAGGGCCAACACATGCAGAACTACACCACGCGGCCCCTGAATTGCCACCAGTGGAACAATTGCACGCTGAACGTGACTTGCCACGTGCTGCTTCAGACGACGCACAAGACCAGGCTGAATGGCAGCAACAATACGGACACCTTCACGATGAGGAAAAGAGCTCCCAGGGATCATAGCCATCACGCAGGAGATCGAAGGCTACAAGTACACCCTGGACTCCCCCCTCAGGAAGAGCGACACCCCAGAGGACAAGAAACGCCTGCAGGAGATAGGGTCGCCAGCGCCGCCCTTCGCGCTGGCGATCTTGGAAGAACTGTACAAGTGTGACGTGGGTGGCTCCATGGAGGGTGCCATTCGGAACCACCTGCACCGAGCGGAGACCGAGGACATCGAGGCAGAACACAGAGAGCCAGCACATGCAGGATCACACCACGCGGCTCCTGAATTACTACCAGTGGAACAATTGCACGCCGAACGTGACTTGCCACCTGGACCACTACCTCCACACCCAGCTCGCGAAGGACTACCGGATGTCCCAGGGCAACTTGACCACATCTCCGACGCATGCCGTGCAAATCAGATTATGATGTACGCAGGCATTAAGATCCGCCAGTGCACTACCGACGCCCCGCATCATGTCGAGGACCGCCGCTATCATACATGGGTCCATTTCGGATGGGGTCGCGGGGCGCACACGAGCAGCTCAGGAAGTCGCAGCATCGCAGTATCCAAGCGCCAAAGCCGCGGGATAGACATCAACAAGGCACGGCGCCCCCCACAATCTGACCTACGGGGCGCGGGCGCTGTCGAGCTTCATCGAGGCCAGCTCCGCACTCGATTCACTGCTGCGCATTCCCCACCGCGGCCGAACGGAGCAGGTCATTACCAACACTGGAAAGCAGGATGCCGCCGACCATGGAGCTGGGTACCGCAGGCACATACCGACATCCCTATTCGCGTCATGCCCATCCTGTTCACGGACCTCAACCAAGGGCCAGGACGACGATCACGACAGCGCCGCACCGACAACGCAATCGGCAGCTACCAACCCAGCGACGAGACCGAGCTCGGACGCTTGATTCACGACAAGTTCCTGACGCACCAGCTGACAGCCATCAACATGCACATCGACGTCGGCAATACGTACTACGGGCACAACAAAGCCAGATCAAGCATCAACCACTACATTCGCCACGACAACTTCATGGAAATCGTGAAGCGCGTGAAGCTGAATTGGAAGATCCACACCAAGCTAAGTAGCCTACTACATGTTGCCGACCACATCACCTTGATTCTGCAGATCAAGATGCCTGTCAGCGGCGCCAACATTACGAACAACAACATCCGCTGGGACTATGGCCTACTTGCTGCTGGGCTCCAGACGGGCGCCCACCGCGCGTCTTTTCTCAACGACGCCTACGCCGAGATTAGCAAACACAAGGAGGCCCTCCGAGTTGTCAAGATGGATCAGTGGGCTCCCCCCGATTCCACCGTGAGCACCTCTTCCCTCCTCTCGGCGGCAACGCACGACGGGGCGGACACCGACGACGAGACAAACCCCACCTTCGAGTGCAACGTCGGGTCGTGCCTCAAACGGATCACCACGCGCTCGGCCACCCTAAGTGCCCACCCCACCTGAGTTCAACTGCCGCAGACGAAGCGGCCGATATTAGTCAGCTAGCATTTCGACGCTGCTAGGCACGCGCTGCGCAGGGGGCCCCTCCGAGCAGCACCCTGGCAGTCTGGCCCAAGCGGGGCAACGCGAGACAGTCGGCTCTCTGCGACGGATCTCTCAAGTCTGGTTTCAATGTATACCATATTTTGATATCAGATATTGGTCCTGACGTCGAGGAAAAATCATCATCATCATCGGCATCATCAGCATCATCTTCATCATCAGCAGCAGCACCACCATCACCATCATCATCATCGTAATCATCACCATCAGCATCAACGACAGTATCAACATCACCATCCTTATCAGCAGCAGCCGCATCATCATCATCATCATCATCATCATCATCATCATCATTATTGTCATCGTCGTCGTCATCGTCATCGTCCTCATCACCACCACCAAATTCATCATCCTCGCCATCATCATCATCACCATCATCATCAGCAACATCATCATCATCATCATCATCATCAACGTCGTCGCCATCACCATCAGCATCATCATCATCGTCACCGTTGACGGCATCATCAACATCATCATCATCAACATCATCATCATCACCACCATCATCATCCACATCATCCTTATCACCATCATCGTCGCCACCATCATTATCATCATCATCGTCATCCTCATCAGCATCATCATCCCCATCCTCCTCATCCTCCTCATCAGCATCATCATCTTCATCAGCATCACCATCCTCATCTTAAGCGTCATCTTCATCGGCATCGGCATCGGCATAGTCATCGTCGTCATCATCATCATTTGATGCACCGGGCGGTTGCATGAGTTATCTGGCTCTGAGGTATTCCCCGCTGTGGTGCGGCCCCGGCGAATTTCACAGCCTGAAGGTACCGGATGCAGGAATCTACGAGGTCACCCATTCATCTATCTATCTTCCTCTTGGCCCCGCTGGGCAGGCCTCGGCATCCTCGGCCGTCGTGGGCGCCTGGCACGGCTATCACCCCGCCTACGCGGACGCCTTCGCCAGGCCAAGCGGCGCTCTCGCCCTGGGATTGGCAGGAGGGCACGCGTCACCGGCTGCGTACAGGAATGGTCCGTCAGGGGCCGTCTCGATCCGACCAGCTCGATCCGAAATCGATCTCCCAGAGCAGTCCAAGCGGGGGTAAGAACTGGTGGGGGGAAATCATGACTGGGGCCATGGAAGCCCCTAGATGTCATGGCCCGTTTTCTTCCCACTATCAGTGCGTATTATTATGATGTGCATTTCTCTCTTACCACTTATGTTAAAACGAGTACGAATACGATTATTTATGTACTGATTTACTCATTTGTCATCGTATCATCTTGCTGCTGTTATTATGTAGACGCTTCGCTCATTCCGCTGGCCCATCTTGCCTCGCCGCTTGTAGTTTATCGGGGTGTTGTTGTCAATGCGGTCCCGTTGGGCGGCTGCCATTTTTCAGAGGCGGTGGGTGGTGGGTCAGAGGCCTCATGGATGTTGGTGGGCTCTCGTGGTTGGCACATCGGGGGCCTATGGGAGGTACTTTTGAGGCCTCTTGGGGGCCGTTTTGGGGCCTCTTGGGGCCTCTTGGGGGCCTCTTGGGACTTCTTGGGGTGCCTCTTGGGGGCCTCTGGGGGGCTCCTGGGGGCCTCTTGCGGGCCTCTTGGGGCTTCTTGGGGCTGAAGGCTTGATTTGTAGGTTCGTGGTCCCCTTCTTGGGCCCCTCTTGGGGCCGTTTTGGGGCCCTCTTTGGCCGTCTTTGGCGCCTCTTGGGCTGTCTTGGGGCTCTCTTGGGCCCATCTTGAGGGCGTGTTGGGCCGTATGGGGACGATGTTGGAGGCCTCTGGGGCAGTTCTGGATTCTGTGAACCCCCAGATGTCGCACATGCGAAACACGCACGTTTGCCGAAAGGAATGGGACGATGTTTGCTTGCTGGGGCCCTCTTGAAGAGCCTCTTGCGGCCCTTTGGGGTCTTTTTTCGCTGCTTCTGGGGCCATCTGGGGAACATTTTGAGTCTTGAGCGTCTTGGAACGATCTTTCGGCGACTCGGGGCCTCTTGGGCCGGGCAGGGGGCGTCTGGGCGCCCTCTTGGCGCGCCCCTGGAGCGCCCCAGGGGGGGGTCGGCCGGGCATCCCCCGGGGTACTCTTCGCCCGGGGGTCCCCAGGGGCCGCCACGCGCGCGCGAACTAGAAATACGGTAAACCTGCTACCGGAGATCTTAGCACGCCTCCGGCCCGCTGGGCCGGCGAATGATATTTGTTACTGGCATTACTATTACTAGTATCATTATAGTAATTCCTATTATCATTATTGTTATTATCTGTATCATTATCATTAATAATACTGCGATGAGTATTAGTATTGTCATTTGTTATCTTCTTCTTGCGAAGCACTCCCTGGGCCCCCCCCCCTCGTCTGCGCACATGCCTCGGGCCATCATCGGCCCCCTCCCCCCCCCTCTACCTGGCCCCCTCTCCAGCCTCTTCCTGGCGCCCCCCTCTGGCGCACCCACAGCCCGCCCGATCCGGGCCGACGTTCCGACGCTCCGACGGCCCAATGCGTCCCAGTGCATGCGCGGCGAGCGAGGGGGCGGAGTGAGAATGAGAAGGCTTCGCTCAAGCAGTGGCGAAGCGTCCTGGCTCGCCTATAGCCCTACCACACAATGTTCTAAGAACATGTTGTGGTTTCCACGAAATGTTCTTAGAACATGTCTGGCGGAGTCTGTCTTATTTTATCACATCGGGTTCATGTTCTAAGAACATGGTTTACGTTCTTAGAACATTTTTGGGCTCTAAGAGCATTTCGTGGTAGGACTATAGGAACGCCGGGACGGTCGGTCCCTGCTCAATTCGCGCCTTCGCAGAAGTGTTCTGCGCCTTCGGGGAAGGCTCGGAAGACTTCTCAGCGGTCAATGGGGGACTCCAGAGCCTGTCGAGAAGGCCTTCTCCTTCTCACTTCCCCCCCCGCGCTCGCCGCCAGCCAGTGCTTGCGTGGCGCGGTGATGCATCCTGGCGCGGCCGATCAGGTTCGATGTAGACTCTCGCGGGCGGCTTTCCGCACACAGTCCCCGAGCTGCATCCGAAAAAATCGGTCGCTCGGAAAAGAGAGGCAAGTCGGGGATACACCTTGAAGGGGCCTACGCGGACGCACCCCAATCGAGGATGAACGCCCCAACGTTGTATTATCCGTGAGCCGGGCCCAAATATTTGAGTCCAGTCGAAAGCCCTCCGAAGTCGGAGATTGGGGTGACCATTCCGAACCGATCCGAACACACATTCGTTCGTTGGGCGTCGCGTAATGGAGGGCGATGTGTGGGGGGGCGGCGAGGGTTGCAGAAAGGGGACCCTTCAGGGCCCGAAAGTGGCCCTCTAGGGCCCAAAGGGGGCCTTGGGGGCCCGAAGAGGACACATTTCTCTCCCCCCCCCATGTTCGGGGAGGGGGATGGATATCATGGCGTGGGCCTTGATCTTTCCTCAGATTTCTTGGCGCCTCTTCTTATTCCGTTACGTCCCTGCCCCCCCCGCTGGGCCGCGCATATGCCGCCGGTCATGATTTGCACCCCCCCCCTTCCTGGACACCCCCCTCTTGGCCGCTCCCGACATGTCCTGCATCGCCCCCAGTAATCCGCCCCAAATTGGATCTGACCTTGAGTCGGGCCTGTCCCTTTGCAGGCAAGATAGTAAAAGTAAAACATGGTCTGGGGACCCTTCTTTGATCACTTTCGGATCTGTTTGACCATTTCGGGGGGTATCTTGTACTCTTCGTCCAGAAGCCCCCTTTAGGAGGACACGCCCGACCTGAAGCTACAGTTCGGCCACGCTTCTGGGCTGCGTGCTCCCCCAGCTGCTGCGGAAGCCACTGGGGAAACCTCGGGGAGACGCCCCCTCTCGGGGTCTCCCCGTGGCCGTGCTGGGGCTCTCTTCCAGCCTCGCTACGGGCCTTCTCGGGAGCCCTCTTGGGAGCCTTCTTGGGCCCTCGTGGGGCTCCCTGGGGCCGTGTGGTCTGAGGGCGCTCGTGGGGCGCCCCGATGCCGACGGACCGCCCCTCTCGCCGCATCGGCCCGCGGCTGCCCCCGCCTTCGGGCGGGGCGGCCTCCTGGGCCGAGGCCGAGGCGGCAGGGCCGCTGCGGCAGCTGCCGCCTCCGCACGCAGCGATCGGCAGGCCGCGCACCCCACAGCGCCGAGATGCCCACGGTCAAGTCGGGCCTCCTCTTCCTCGTCCTCCTCCTATTCCTCCTCCTCCTCCTCCTCCGCCTCCTCCTCCTCCTCCTCCTCCTCCGCCTCCTCTTCCTCCTCCTTCTCCTCCTCCTCGTCCTCCTCCTCCTTCAAGCTCCTTCAAGCTGCGGAACGTCTGCCTCCAGATGAAACACGACGCCCAGGGTGAAAAAGGGGGGTGAATTAAGAGATGGTGAGGCGAAAGCTCCTGCCCACCACTCGGTTGGTGGAAGGATCCTTCCCCTCCTTGAGCAGCCTCAGGGTCTTCTCTCCGTCCTTGTTGCGGAGGTTCCCACGGCAGGGACCTCCGAGCAAGCGGAGCCTGGAACTCCCGAAGGCTGCACACATAGAGCACCACACTAGGGAGGAGCCCATGAGCCAGAGCCGATGAGACTTGTCGGCCAGGCGAGCCAATCGTGGGAGGCCCGTGCATGGCATGGAGAGGAGCTTTAAGGAGAGGAAGGTGAAGACGAAGAGGAGTAAGATGAGGAAGTATGGGGAAGGGGAGGATGAGGAGGAGGCCGAATAGAGAAAAGGTCTCCGCCACATGGGAGGCTCACAGAGGCCTTGTCAGGCTACCGGAGAGCCCAAAACGTTACAAAGTCTTAGATGTTCGACCTTCGACCTTCGACAACGACGACCACCACCACGACGACGACTGCGACGACTACGTCGACGACCACGGCGACGACGACGATGGCGACGACGCCTGCGGCGACCCCGACGACAACGACGACGACGACAACGACGACGACGACGACGATGTGACGACGACAACACCGACGACGACCACCACGACGACGGAAGAACGACGACAACGACGGCGCCATCTGCTTCGACGACAACTTGCCGCCGACGGCGACGACGACGACGACGACGACGACGAAGCCAACGACGACGAAGCCGACGACGACGACGACGATGTCGACGACGGCGACGGCGACGGCGACGGCGACAGCGACGACGACGGCGACGACAACGATGACGACGAAAACAGCCGCCCCGTCGCCAGGGCCGCGCCTGGACCGTCCGCACTGGGGCCGCTCGTGCAGCAGCACCCTGGGGCCGTGCCCGGGGGCCAGGCCCAGGCCTCGCCGTCGCCGTCGTCGTCGTAGTGTCGCCATCGCCATCGCCGTGGATGTCGTCGTCGGCGCCGCCTGCCGTCGTCGTGATCGTCGTCGACGCTGTCGTCGCCTTCCTTGTCCGGGGGTTGTCTAAAAGCTTGCCCGAATTCTGGGGCGCGGTCACCGCACGGCGAGGTCTCGTCGTCACGGCGGGAGCCGCTTCGAGGTCCTGACCAGAACGCTTTCCAGGAGAAGTTCGGGTTTGTTCGGTGTTCGTCCGCCGTCGTCTGTTGTCTGTCGCATTCGTCTGGTCGCTGGTCTAGGGCGTCCGCCGTCTTTAGTCCGTCATCTGCCGCCGTCTCAGTTGTTCCTCGTCCGTCGTCGAAGTCGTGGACGCGGCCACTATTATCGGAGAGGACGAAGGGGAGGAGTAGGAGGAGGAGTATGAGGAGGAGGAGGAGGAGGAGGAAGAGACGGAGAAGGAGGAGGAGGAGGAGGAGGAGGTCGTAGTGAAGTGGAGTGGGGTGAGGCGGAATGGAGTGCAGCGCAATGCAGTGCAGAAGAGTAGCGTGAGATTGAGTGGGTTATTGCGGAATAGAGTGGAGCAGGGTAGTGTGGATGCCCTCCCGGGACGTCCTCGGGGATCTCCCGAGGTCCCTGGAAACTTGACGAGAGGCCTCCAGAGGTCTCTGGAGGCCCATGGAATGTGACAAAGCATGATCTCAGCCATTTGAGTATTCAGTATTCGATTTTGGAGGGCCGAGGATCCAGGAGGCGAAGAAGAGCCCCACACCCGCGACGTGCCGCGAGTCGTTCACCGCCTGGGCCCCCGGAGGCCTCGGGCCCGTTCCCCGGGTGTGGCTTCCATGTCCTGAGTGACGAGCCATGCCCCGGCAGGGCCCAGCCATTGCCTTAGTCAGAAAAGCTGGGGGGCTCCCAAACGGGGTGGTGACCCCACCGTGTGGTGAGTCGGTGGGAACTCGGGGTCCCCGCACGGTTTTGGGACTCGAGTCCCTCTCCGAGGATGTCTTGGGCGACAGGGGCCTCCAGGTTCCCAAGACCGTGCGGTGACAGACCGTGCGGTGAGGTCTTGGGAGATTTCGAGGTCACCGCACGGTCTGTCACCGCACCGTCTCGGGACTCCAAGAAAACAAGCATCGGGGTTGGAAGATGGGTTTGTGATCGCTTTCTTATTCATGGTTTTGCCCATCGGCGCGGGCCCTCGCACCCCCCCCCTCTTAAAGGAGTAGATCTTGACTGATTGTTGGTGCCTGTTTCGAGCAGGTCCCCCATAGGACGCACTCTTGCAAACAGTCGCAACAAGCAGAGGTCCAGAGCCAGGTCCCCCCTCCCCCCCCTCCGCCCAATGTCGAAACGCCGAATACGAAAACGCTCACTTTGGGAGAAATGATCACATCATCAATCCTGCCGCGTATGTTATATACAGGTGTGTACTTCGCAAGCGTACCCTGTATCTTCCCAATCCCTTCCTCTCAGCACGAGAATGGTCTCTCACATTTCACAACCTCCTGTCGCGAGGTGGGGGGGATCAGGGCACGGTCGCCTACGATCCAACTTGATGCGATCCGACTCGCTGTCTGGGGCCGCGATTCCAACTCTACTCGACTCGGCTCGATTGCACCGGCCTCGGCCAGGGCCAGCCGGAGCGGGGCGCAGCGGTCAGATCTCGATCCGATGCGAGGCGATTTGTGGGCGATCCGACCTGTTTCCGATCCGAGTTCGCGAGTCGATTTGGCTCAGGCCTGGCAGGGGAATGACGATGAGGAGGAGAAGGAGGACGAGGGCATCGGGGCGATCGCTCGACACTGTCCGCATCACCGAGTTAGCGAGGAGGAGGAGGAGCAGAAGGAGGAGGAGGAGGAGGAGGAGGAGGCGGGGGGAGGATCAAACATCATCATAATCATCATCATCATCATCATCATCATCATCATCATCATCATCATCATCATCATCATCATCTTCATCATCATCATCATCATCATCATCATCATCATCGTCATCATCATCATCGTCATCATCACCATCACCATCACCATCACCATCCTCATCAGCATTATCATCGACATCGTCATCATCATGATCATCATCCTCAGCACCATCATCATCATCCTCAGCACCATCATCATCATCATCATCATCATCATCATCATCATCACCTACCATCATCATCATCAGCATCTTCAATCACCATTACCATTATCATCACAGTAACCCTCAGCACCATAATCGTCAGCACCTTTATCATCCTCACCACAAACATTAGCAGCATCATCATCATCATCAGCATCGTCACCAACATCGCCACCACCACCATCACCAGCATCATCATCATCATCATTATCATCATCATTATCATCATCATCAGCAGCATCATCATTATCATCAGTATCATCATCATCATCGTCATCATCATCATCATCGTCATCAGCATCATCGTCGTGGTCGCCATCACGAGCGCCCTCATCATGCATCAGCATCATGATCAACAGCACGGGCATCATCATCAGCACCTGATTCGTCATCCTCATCATCACCACCATCACCATCATCATCGTCCTCATCGTCATCGTCAGCATCATCGTCAATATCATATCATCATCACCATCACCAAAATCTTCACTCAGTACCACCACCATCATCGTCATCATCACCAGCATCATCATACTCAGTATCAGCATCATCATCATCATCGTCATCATCATCATCATCATCAGCAGCATCATCATCATCATTAGCATCATCATCAGCAGCAGCATCATCAGCATCATCATCAGCGTCATCATCAGAAAGAGCGTGTTCTGCCGCTGCTAGGGGGGGCCACTGGGGGTTTCAAACCCGCCCCCCCCTCGAAAACCGGGGGGGTATTGGGGGTTCCAAACCCGCCCCATCCCCCAGTCCATCATGAAAAGGAGTGGGGTCACTACCAGTTCGAATCCGCCCCCCCCCCCCCTTCTTTGCCGCCGGCAAAAGACTCCCCCTCCTCCCAGACTCCATATGGGGGGTTGTGGTGGGGACAGTGATTGGGACGGTGGTGGGGATGGTCATGGGGAGTGGGAACAGTGGGACAGTGGTGGGGACAATGGGGAGAGTGGGGACGTGGTGGGGACAGTGGTGGGGACAGTCGGGACAGTGGGACAGTGGTGGGGACAGGTGGGGGGGACTGGGAACAGTGGTGGGGACAGTGGGGACAGTGCGACCTTGGTGGGGACAGTGGGACAGTGGTGGGGACAGTGGGAATGTGGTGGGGACGGTGGTAGTGGGACAGTGGTGAGGGCGATGGTGAAGACGGTGGTGGGACAGTGAGACAGGGAGGGGTACAATGGACAGTGGTGGGGACAGTGGGGACAGTGGGACCGTGGTGGGGACAATGGGGACAGTGGGACAGCACAGTGAGACAGCTGTGGGAGCAGTGGGGACAGTGGGACAGTGGCGGGGGCAGTGGGGACAGTGGGGACAGTGGGACAGCACAGTGCGACAGCGGTGGGTACAGTGGGGACAGTGGGACAGTGGTGGGGACAGTGGGGACAGTGGGACAGAGGTGAGGACAGTGAGGACAGTGAGACCGTGGTGGGGACAGTGGTGGGGACAGTGGGGACACTGCGACGGTGGCGGGGGCACTGTTGGGGACAGTCGGGACGGGTGCGGGAACAGTTGGGACAGTGGGACAGCGGGGACAGTGGGACAGTGGTGGGGACGGTGGTGGTGGGCACAGCGGCGAGGGTACAGTGGGACAGTGGTGGGGACAGTGGGGACAGTGGGACACTGGTGGGGACGATGGTGGTGGGGACAGTGGTGAGGGCGGTGGTCAGGATGGTGGTGGGACAATGGGACAGTAGCACAAAGGGGACAGTGGTGGAGACAGTGGGGACAGTGGGACAGTGGCGGGGACAATGGGACAGTGGGACAGCACAGTGGGACAGCGGCGGGGACAGTGGGGACAGTGGGACTGTGGTGGGGACAGTGGGGACTGGGGCAGTGATGGGCACAGTGGGAACAATGGTGAGAGTGGGACTGTGGCGGGGACAGTGGGGACAGTGGGACAGTGGTGGGGGCAGTGGTGGGGACACTGCGACAGTGGTGGGAACAGTGGGGACAGTGGGACAGTGGTGGGGACTGTGGGGAGAGTGGGACAGTGGCGGGGACGGTGGTGGTGGGGCCCGGTGGGGACAGTGGTAAGGGCGGTGGTGAGGACGGTTGTGGGGACCCCGGGGTCGCGGGAGTCGCTTGCCGGCTGCGAGTCGGGGGGGGGGGGCGAGCCGGTAGTGACCCCCCTGGCTTTCCCAGGGGGGGTGGGGGGGGGCGGAAAGGGGCGTTGGGGTGGGAGGGAGGTCTTGCAAGGGGGGGGGTCGAGCAGGAGGGGGGTATTTTCGAGGGGTGGGGACCCCTGGGCTCAGCATCATCATCATCATCAGCATCATCATCATCGTCACCCTCATCATCATCACCACCACCATCATCATCTTCACCATCAGCATCATCAGCATCATCTGCATCAGCATCATCCTCCTCCTCATTGTCCTCGTCATCATAATCATCATCAACAGCACCATCATTATCACCCTCCTCATATCCATCAGCATCATCATCGCCCTCCTCATCCTGATCATCATCACCAGCATCATCATCATCATCATCATCATCATCAGCATCATAAGCATCATCATCATCAACATCAGCATTATCATCATCACCAGCATCATCATCGTCGTCAGCAGCAGCATCATCCTCGAACCGAGCCCGTGGGCAGGCGGAGCCCCTGCATCGGGGCTGGGCCAGGGCAGACCCGCCCCCCCGCGCGCTGGCCCGCCGACAGGCGCAGACTGCAGCGGCGTCGCACGCGTGGGGTCCTCGCCGCCTGCCGCGTCGACGGCGCGCGCATCGTGGTCGTGGTCGTTCTTCGTCCTCCTCCTCCTCCTCCACGTCCTCCTTCCCGTCCTTCTCCTCGTCCTCCTCCTCCTCTTCCTCCTCCTCCTTCTCATCATCATCCTCTGTTCCTCCTCCTCCGTTCCTCCTCCTTCTCCTCCTCCTCCTCCTCCACCTCCTCCCTTCCCCCTTCTCCTCCCCCTCCTCCTCCTCAGGTCCTTGGCGCACCACGCCCCGCTGCTGCAACACGTTTCACAAACATGGGGAAGAACAACGAAGGGTACAATGGGCAGGGATCGCATTCGCATGAACGGGAAAGATCTGCCGAATTCCTGGCCAGATGATGGGTCGATCCCACCTCTGAGGAGACTCAGCGAGTGGTTCGCAGCCTTAGTCCTAAGCCCGTTGCGACACGGTTTAGTGAGGAGGATCACTTTCTTAGTGCCGAACGCCCCACAGACATTGCACCACACTCGGCCTCCAGCACCGCTTCAAAGTCGATGGGAGGGGTGCGCCAGTACACGGAAACGCGGTTATCGCGCTTCTCGACCATTCTCGATTTCCGCATCTGACGCAAGCGGATCTCTTGCTTACCTTGACTCGTTCATGCCCGTTGGGTTCGGACACAACTGCCAAAGGATCAGGAGCTTTGAGCCGAGTGGTCTTAAACTGATCAGCATCGTTGCAATTTCACCTGGACGAACGAACCTCTCCCGATCCCCGCGATCAAAACAGCACGGCCTCGAACCTGGAAATCGTGGGTCTTGAGCTCGTCTAGAAGCCGCGGGGAAACGGGTTCTACCTCATGGAGACGCATTGGTCCAGGACAGATGGCTCCGAATTACCTCGACCGTGATCTGCGCAGTTATATATTCACACTTCTCTCGCCAAAGCTCAACGTAAGCCACGCGGTCGAGGGACTGATGAGGACCGCCGTTCCATCTGTCGACAACCACCTGGCAGTCACGCGCAGCAGTGACGGGCCCAACCCCTGCATTACGGATCAGCAGAAGGAGGGCATGTATTTCGGCACAGCCGGATTGTTGGACAGGGTGGGGCAAGGGTCCGTGTAAGGCCCCGTCCTAGCTTACGTGCCGGCCCACTTGGACCACACCCCAGTAAGCACCCCGTGGGGTGGGGGGAGGAGAACGTTCCAGACTTGAGAAAAGTCCAGACGGGGGGGGGCTTAAACGCCAGACTCGGGACCATACAACGGGCGGTGCCGACTGCGTACGGCGAAGCCTTTTCGAAGTCCGCGACCGCTTCTGGACCGTCCAGCTCTCTCCGCACCCACCACGTGGCTGGGCATCCGACTATATTGTGCTGCGGCGTTCCGAGGCCGCCGCAGAACCTACACTTCGGACAGGCCATCCGCCGATCCACGAACAAAGCTCTCTGGGTGGGAACGCCTCCAGCAACAGCTCCTGAGAGAAAAGCAGACTGCGCCACCTGCCCCCTGAGAACGAAGCTTCCTCAAGACGTCCATCGCGGGCTCCATGCAGGGGAAGTGGGCCTTCGAGATGTTCCCGTGGAAGTTGGTGCCCTCGAGGCTCCGAACCAGCGCCTCCTTGGAACCAGAGGCAACCAGGGTCTTCGACGAGTCCGTTTCCAGATATCCGTAATCGAGGACCGTGCCTCTGAAATCTGTCCAACCCATCTGGTGCTGGGCTGTCCAGCCCATACGTACCAAGGTACAACAACAAGGCTCCACCGAACCTGGTTCCAATCAAAACCTGGGGCTTGCAGGGCAGACTTGGCGATGTTGGTCTTCAGGCTCCTAGGCAAACACTGCTCACGCCACGCCTGCACCCAAGACTGAAAAAAGAAGGTTGGCCTGGAGGGTGGGGTCCAGGGTGGGGTCAGCGCAGAGCAAGACTTCAAGGGTACGCAATCTCCCTCGAGATGTACCATAGGCACCTCGAGCAATACCTCTTGCTGGAGACTCCATGCACACGTGCTCCACACATACCTGCGGGGAGATGTCTTGTCTTCAGGATCCTCTTGGCGCCCATAGCCGCCGAGCGGAGGACGCGAAACCGATGAGCACGAGGCTGGAGCGTGCCTATCCTATGGACCTTCGCCCCAAGACGGCCACGCACACGAAAGTCAACCCCAATATTGCTGGTGGATTGGATGTGCCTGAACTTCCAACACTTCAACTTCGAGGCGATGTCTTTCGATATCCATCCTTGGGTAGCCACGATAACCCCCTATTGGTCCTGGACGTGAGAAGGTACATAGTTTGAAAGTCCTTCATACACTAGGGCTAGGAGGAGGGGCGGGATGAGAAGTGTTTGGAGGGATAGGGGGATAGGAGAAGGAGGAGGAGGGATAGGCGGGAGGATCGGCGAAGGGATACGAGGACGGATGCGAGGAGGGTTTCCAGGACGGATGCGAGACGGGATGCGAGGAAGGATACGAGGAGGGAGAAAGAACCGAGACGAGCAGGGATACGGCAAGGCATACGAGGATATATAGGAGGAGGGATACGAGGAGGACTACAAGGAAGGATACGACGAGGGATAGGAAGGTGGATAGGAGGAGTGATAGGAAGCGTGATAGGAGGAAGGACCAGAGGAGGGATGCGATCAGGGATAGGAGGAGGAGAGGGAGGGAGGAGGAGGAGGAGGAGGAGGAGAAGGAGGAGGAGGACGAGAAGGAGGAGGAGGAGGAGGAGGAGGAGGAGGGATGGGGCGGAGGGTCAGGAGGAGGGATAGGGGGAGGGTCAGGAGGAGGGATAGAAGATGGGTAAGAAGCATTGGCAGGAGGAAAGATATAAGGAGGGACAGGGGGAGGGACAGTAGGAGAAGGAAGGCCTTCGTTTTCGTCATTCTGGATCTCCCCTGGGCCTTTTGTCGCCACGGCAGGGTCCGCATCGGAGCCCTGGGCGGAGAGCATCTCGGAACGCTTTCCGACGACGGCGATGCCGACGAGGCCCCCCGCTTGCCCGGCGGCGCGGCGAGGTCAGCCACTGCCCGCCGCGCGGATCGGGAGGGACCCGCACTTCGCAGCCCCGCTGGGCCAGGCGGTGAGGCGAGCGCTCGGAGGAGGGAGGAGGAGGAGGAGGATGACCAGTGCAAACCCAAGACGCATCAACAGTGTTGCAATACCCCCTCCCTCCAAGATCCAACGTCAGAGCTCCCTACAAGAAATTATGTTGACTGCGAGCAGTGCGGCGGTGAGGCGAGCTCTCGGAGGAGGGTGGGGGACCCAGACCACCTCGCACCGTGAAGAGGACGGACGATGTTCTGCAGTATTCGGCCTCAGGGGGCCTCGCTGGGCCCCGGGACTGTCAAGAGTCTCAGGATGGAGAGCTGGTCCCGGGGAGTGGGGGTCGAGCTTCGGGTCGCAAGAGGCTGGGGGTCAACGCAAACAGGGGTGAGTCAGAGCGCCGGATCTTGCAGGACCCTGCAGAGCCAGGGGTGCACTGACCCGGGCTTGGGTGCAGGATCCTGCAGGGTCTCGCAGGACCCAGCAAGCCCGACTGACCCGGGTTTGGATTGACCTTGGTCAGTAGGTCCTGGAGGGGATGCCTGGGGCGGTCCGCGTTGTGAACACATCGTTGCGTCAGGGGGCTCGGGAGAGAGAGGCCCTGAGATCCTGGCGTCGGCGGTGTCGCCCTGTCTCTTGCCCCGTGGGGCCCCTGCGGATCGATCCAGCTCGGAAAAAGGCAGCGGAAAAGGGGGGGGGGCTCTGGCTTTAATTATGAATTTGCGTGTTGTTGCGTTGTTTCGCGACGTCGGGCTTCAAGGGAGGAGGAGGAGGAGGAGGAGGAGGAGGAGGAGGAGGAGGAGGAGGAGAAGGTGGAGGAGGAGGAGGAGGGAGGGAGAGGGAGGAGGAGGAAGAGGAGGAGGAAGAGGAGGAGGAGGACCAGTGTGAGCCCAAGACGCTCCAACAGTGTTGCAATACGCCCTCCCTCCAAGCTCCTACCTCATAGCCCGCTACAAGAAATTGTGTGAACTGCGAGAAGTGCGGCGTCGAGGAGAAAGTAACATTATGACAACGAGCCTCCCTCCATCTTTGACAGTGTTGCAAACTTTTTAAAACGTACCTGCGCGGCGCGAAGGCAAAAGCCAGATGTTGAACGTGGACCGCCCTCCATACGCGAAGTTGCTGCGAAATTTTACGACCGTGCGCGGCGCTACGGCGAGAGCTACATTTTGACAACGACCCGCCCTCCACCCTTGAAATTAATGTGAACTATTGGGGCGAATGTGCGCGACGCGAAGGCCAGTGGCCAGATTTTGAAAAGGAACCAACATACATCGTCGAACCTGCTGCAATCCCCCCCGAAGAAACAAAAAAAAAAAAACGAATGTGCGCAGCGCCACGGCGAGAGCCACATTTCGAAGACCACTCGCCCTCTATCCTTGAACATACTGCAGAATTCAAGCTTCAGGATCGTGACTGGCCAGGAAGTCTTAAGCGAACCGCCCGGCCCGCCCCACCAACACGTTCTTCCCCAAACGGTGATTGCACTTCGGGGCTCTGATTCGTTTCTAAGCAACCCCTTGCAAAAGAATTGACGACATGCACGCGCGCGTCGTCGCGAGCGTATGCCGAAGTCTATACACACATATATCGATATACATACATAATATATATATGTGTATACATATACAGATGTATATGCTTAAAACATCTACATATATATATGCACAAACAAATATACATACATACATACATACATACATACATACATACATACATACATACGTACGTACGTACGTACGTACGTACATACATACATACATACATACATACATATATACACACGCACGTGAGAAAACAACAGGTCTCGTGAGGGTGCCAGGCGAGTGCACCGAAACCAGATAAGTAACATATGTTTTCGCAACCACAGTTTTCAAAAGAAAATGGCGCCACCCGCGCCGCATGCCGAAATCATTCGAACGCCCTTGCGCGCGTGCGAGGCACGATCCGTGTCAAATCGTACCATGCGGGCCACTCTCGCGCGTTGGTGTCGCGCGCGCATGGCGAACTCCTTGCTAAACCTTCATCACCGACGCGAGGACGCCGTCATCGCCGTCGGCATGATTAGCATCGGCGCCGTCATTGGCCGTGCCGTCGTCATTGCCAGCATCGCCAACAGCATCGCTACTATCATCATCGTGTCTACCGTCGTCGACGTTGCCATGATACCGCGCCCGCCCAAGTCGCCGATTCGCACTGAAGTGCCCGCTGAGATGTGGCCAGCGGTCAGCGGCCACGGCGGCCGCGTCGGTCGCGCCAAACTGGCTGGCCGCTGCGCGCGGGCTGGCGCGGCCGCAGAGATGCACCAACCAACACCAAGCACTCATCGCAATCGTTTCCGCATGGCTTTTGCGTACCAAGTTGCGGGTGGGTGGGTAGGACGATTGCGCGAGCAGTGGAACTGCGTGGATTGCAATGCGCCCTCCTCGCGCCTCAGCCGAAGCCCGAGCTGTTGCCCAGCAGCGGCAATCTGGCGGGTACGGCGCCGAGCGGAGCGCCATCATTTGGGATCTTTGCGGCTCGCCGCCGCTGAAATGGACCCGCTCCTCGCCGCCCATCTCCAACAGGTCGGGGCCGACAGCGTGCAAGGAGTTTGCAGCCACTACGAACGGGGCGGCGCGGGATCGGCGCCAGCCACCAAGAAGCCACCCTGTGCAACCGGCTGCGCGCACCCGCCCCCCCGCAAGCAGCCTGGGGCACCCGACGATTCTGGACGCTCTGCGCAACGCGCCCCACCACCCCACGGGGGGGGGGGATCTTCGGAGGAGGCAGAGGAGAAACAGCAAAAACAGTAGCACAAGGAAAAAGAGACGGAGGAGGAAGGGGGAAGCCCCTTTTCCGAGAGAGCAGGGGGGGGAGGAGGAGGCCCACCCCGAGGAGGGAGAGGAGGGGAGAGATTGGGCTCTGGGGGGGGGCAAGGAAAAGGATGAGCAGGAGGAGGAGGAGGAGGAGGAGGAGGAGGAGGAGGAGGAGGGGGGGGAGAAGGATCCCGCGGAGCGCGTCATGCCCCGCCCCCCGGGGGGGGTGGTCAATCTTCGCGGCCAGCTCGGGCGCCCGCCCGCGAGGGCGGGCCGCGCTCCGCTCGCGCCCACCACGGGGCGGGCGCCGCGGCCTCCCTCTCGGAGGGGACGGGGCGACTCGCCCAGGGGTGGGCAGTGAACGTGTTCGCCAGGGAGCCTCGCCGACCGCATGGACCATCGGCGCCCCTGGATGCCACTATTCGCCCCCGTCGTCGCCCCCGATTCCTCGAAGGCACCCCTCGCTTCAGAAGCCCGCCTGCCTTCCGAGAGGCCGGGCCTCATGAAGGCCTCCCAGAGGGGGGGGCGATGCCCCCGCTGAAGCCGCCCTTGCTTGCTTAGAAGGCCGCCTCCCCTCGCCCCGCTCCATGATGCCCCCCCTCCCGATGGTCGTGGCGCTACGGCCGTCGTTCAGTTGCTGGCCAAGGGAACCGACAGGCCCGATGCAGTCGGTGATGTCGGGCGGGTTGCGGCCAGTGCGGAGGCGCAGCAGGACAGCCCCGCCTCGGAGGAGGCTGCAGTCATCGGTGCGCAGCGCGCAGGGCCGCACTCGGCGGCCCCACCGTCAGGGGCGAGGACGGCCGCGGCGGCGGACGGGGCACGGCGCAAGGCCGCGGCGCAGGAGAAGAGACACAGATGGGCCAGGCAAGACGGCGGCGGCAGACTGCCCGAGTTCTGCCAACACCAGGTTGCACAAGCATCGGCGGCGACGGCAGCAGCGGCAGCGGCAGCGGCAGCGGGCGCGGCAGCAGCGGCGGCGGCGGCGGCAGCAGCGGGCGCGGCAGCAGCGGCGGCGGCGGCAGCAGCGGGCGAGGCAGCGACGGCGGCGGCGGCCCGCCTGGCAGCACTGAGATCCGACGTTGTGAACAGAGATACCACATCACAGCACAAACAAACACGACCAGAGACCTAGACCCCACCTGTCTGCGGCACGATTCGAGCCCGTTCGATCTGTAATGGGCCCGAGGGCCCAAGCGGCAGCAGCGGGCGCGGCAGTGGCGGCGGCGGCAGCAGCAGTCGCGGCAGCGGCGGCGGCGGCAGCCACAGTGGGCGTGGCAGGCAGTGGCGGCGGCGGCGGCAGCGGCGGCGGCGCGCGAGAGGCATGCGCTGGAGCCCCGGCGGCCACCAGCCCTCGGCAGGCAGCGGGAGGAGGCCCCCGCCGACGCCCCCGCGGGAGTTGCGAAGGGGAAGGAGTTTTTGTTTACCCTCTACGGCTACAGGCCTCCCACCAAGGGCTCTTCCTCCTCGAAGTGAACGACCTCCCTGCTGCAACGCAGCGAGAGGCGGTGGCACCGACCGAAGGTCGACGACAACAACCTCAAGGCAGCGGTGGGACTGCGCCGAGGCAAAAGACGGGCGCGAGGCAGGCATCCGCCCACAGGCGCCGACACACGCCGGAGGCAGGCAGAGGCCAGTCGGAACCAGCACCGTCCCCGCCCGAGAAGGAGGAGGCCAAAAGTTCTTTCTTTCGCAGCCCTGGAGCTCGCAACGCTGGGCCATCTTTCACATAACACGGTGCCGGTTCCTGCCGGCGCAACTCTTATTCAAACCGCAGGGCGGGCCGACGAGAAAGGCGGGCCACGGACGGAACAGGGACGGGCCGGAGAGCGAGGAACCGAGGAGCGAGAAAGGGGGAGGAGGAGAGGGAGGAGGCCAGAGATGCCCCATCCTCTGCCCGGCGCAAAGCCTCCGCAGCGCACCCGAGGGCTGCTCCTGCCGACATGGGCTCCAGTCCTCGCGGGTGCAGCAGCAGGCTCCAAGAGAGGGCTCGCCGCCTCCAGGCGCCCAGGCGGCAGGAGGAGGAGGAGGAGGAGGTGGAGGAGGAGGAGGAGGAGGAGGAGGAGGAGGAGGAGGGAGGAGGAGGGGGAGAGGGAGGAGGAGGGGGAGGAGGAGGAGGAGGAGGAGGAGGAGGAGGAGGAGGAGGAGGAGGAGGAGGAGGAGGAAGAGGAGGAGGGGAGAGGAGGAGGAGGAGGAGGATGAGGAGAGGAGGAGGAGGAGGAGGAGAGGAGGAGGAGGAGGAGGATGAGGGGAGGAGGAGGGAGGAGGAGGAGGAAGGAGGAGGAGGAGGAGGAGGAGGAGGAGGAGGAGGAGGGAGGAGGAGGAGGGAGGAGGAGAGAGGAGGAGGAGGAGGAGGAGGAGGAGGAGGATGGAGGAAGGAGGAGGAGGAGGAGGATGATGAGAGGAGGAGGAAGGGAGGAGGAGGACTGGGCTTTTTCTTCTTCGCCTTCAAAGTTCGTCGGAGGAGGAGGAAGAGGAGGAGGACTGGGCTTTTTCTTCTTCGCCTTCAAAGTTCGTCGAGGTCCAGAGGCTCCGCGTCGTGAGAAAGCTCTCTGGGCGGCGCCTCGGGCTGGGAGGGCGGCGCGGCCCTTGCGTGCTGCTGCGCCAGGGGTTGCCGCCCTCGCCCCCCCCCCCCCCCGCCTGTGACGTAGGTCCCTCGCCCAGCCCACGCCATCCGCCCCCCTCACCACCAGAGGGGCCCCGCCCGAGGGAGGAGGATGAGGAGGAAACTCGGCCAACGCCTCGCCTGGGGAGAGAGATACGCAATGCCGTCCACTGTGGCGGTAGGAACGGAACATTATTGGCGCGTTTCTTCTCCGGAAGGTGACGGCCCACACGACTGTATATATTTATTTATATATTCTTATACACCTACATACATATATAAACATGTATGTGTATACACATCTATGTGTATATATATATACATATATCCGATGTGTTCGACCAGCCCCCGTCGACTCTGGAATACAAGGGTTGCCGATATGCACAACGCTGCCAACTGTAGTGTCGTGGGGGCACTTCAGGCAGATGCACAACATCAATCCGACGGTAGGACCCCACATGATAAGATTCTCAGATGGTCTGGTAATGCCCCTCATCGTCGTCCTCGTGATTGGTGTGGTGTCCTCATTATCTCCTCTGCAGCATCATCCTTCCTGCTCTTGCGCAGGCCCTCCTCCTGCTCCCTACTTTGCCCCCTCCTCGCCACCCTGTTTTGGTCACCCCCCCGCCATCTCTTCCCCTCTCAACTGCAAGAGCGCGCGTGTCGATTTTCATCGGCGCCGTCGCCGCCTCGGCCAGCGCGGGCGCATTTTCGAATGGCCACATCGCACAGCCGTTGGGGCAATCACGCGGGCCAGGCCGTTGGGACAACCCCGCGAGCTGCTGGGGCGCGGGAACAAGTCGTTGGAACAACCCCGCTGGCACCGAGCTAGTCTCAGCCGCGCTCAGGCGGGATGCATCACGAAGCCCAGCTCTGCCGCGAGCTGCTCCGCCTCTGCCCTGGAGCTCCCCTCTCTCTTGCCGAACTCTTTGGGCGCCTTCCGCAGGGACGCCGGAGGCCCGCTCTCCAGGAATACCCGCGGGGGCGGCCGCAGGATCAGCATGTCCCGCACGCGCGTGGCGCGGGAGAACATGACGTAGAGATGCGGCCACCGTTCGTCGTCCGACATGCCCGTGCGGCCAGCGTTCTCGTCCCTCGCGCAGTCGTCGGAGCGTCGTCCAACATGGAGACGGGGCTCCCATCGGGAAGGGGCTCCCGCCTGAGACTTCCTCGCAATTCACTCACAGACGAGGCCCCCGCTTGTGATTTCGTCAAGATTCAGACTTGCGGAACCCGAAAATGACGACATCCAAAAGTTTCCGGTGACCTGCTCGGTTTAAAAAGATGAAGAACAGGACCCATAAGGGGGGCGGTTCCCGCCTAAGCCTTCGTCCATATTCACACAGACGAGGCTCCCCCCTAGGACCTCTTACAAGTCGAGGCCCGAGGAGCCCAAAAGTGACGACAGTTAGACGTTTCCGATGACACGTTCGGATTAAGACCGTAAGGTGCGGGACCCAAAGGAATTTGGCTCCCGCTTGAGATCTCTTCGCAGTTCCCTCACAGACGGGGTTCCCGCTTGAAACTCTGTCAAGATTAAGGCCCGAAGAGCCCGAAAGTGACGACAGCTCCAGGTTCTCCATGACCCGCTCGTATTAGAAAAAGACAAGGGGCTCCCGCCAGAGACTTTTTCCAAATGTACTCATACACGAGGTTTCCGCCTGAGACTCCTTCAATCTTCAGGTTTGGGAAGCCGAAAATGACGACAATTACAAGTCCGACGGCCCGCACGGTTTGAAATCATGAAAAGCGGGAGCCATAGGCAAAAGGCTGCCACCTGAAACTTCTTTGCGGTTCACTCACCGACGAGGTTCCCGCTTGATATTTCCTCCATACTGAAGCCGCAGGAACCCAAAAGTGACGGCTGGTACAAGTTCCCGACGACCCGTTCGGATTAAAAACATGAGGCGCGGGACCCATAGGCACCGCTCACAGACGAGGTCCCCCCATGATCTGTATGCAAGTGTGGGTGTGAGGGGGTGAATAAATGAATGAACATGTGTGTGTGTGAATGAGTGATTGAGTGAGGATGATGGTACGGATGATGGTGTGTGAGTGAGTGGGTGGGTGGGTGAGTGAGTGCGTGAGTGGGTAATGCTGATGATGAGGATGATGATGAGGAGGAGGAGGATGAGGATGACGATGGTGATGGTGATGGTGATGGTGGTGACGATGATGGTGATGGTGATGGTGATGGTGATGGTGATGAATGTTTGGGTCAGTGAGTGAGCGAGTTAGTGTGCGAAGGGAGAAGTGGAGAGCGGGTGCGGGGACATCCTGCGCGGAGGTGTGCAAAGAAAACAAAAACCCCACTCAGACTGTGGGGGAACATGTGTGCAGTCAAGGAGCGCTCAGCGGTGATTGTTTGTCCTCAAGCAGCCGCGGAGTAAGTCGGGGAGGTACCCTGCAGATACCTGGGGGAGGGTGGCTCTCACCCTTCCTCCCCCGCAAACAAATCGTGAATTGCCAGTGAGAGGTGGTCCACACTCACTGATGACCAGGGCCCGTCCCGGAGGTGGCGTGAGGGTCTGGCTTCTCAGATTCAACACAGGCACGATTGCACTTAGGCCACCGAGGGAGAATCCTTGAAGCCAACTTGCAGACGGCACGCGAGATCTGAAAGAGCGTGTTCTACCGCTGCTGGCGGAAAACCGGGGGGGGTCACTACCGGTTCGAACCCCTCCCCCCCCCCCCTCCGGAAAACCGGGGGGGTCACTACCGGTTCGAACCCCTCCCCCCCCCCCAGCTCATCATGAAAAGGGGGGGGGGTCACTACCGGTTCGAACCCCCCCCCCCCCTCGAAAACCGAGTGGGGGTGCGGACAGAGGTGGGGACGGTGTTGGTGGGACAGTGGTGAGGGGACAGCGGGACAGTGGTGGGGACAGTGGGACAGTGGGACAGTAGAGGGCCGGTAGTGGTGGGGACAGTGGTGGGGACAATGGTGGGAACAGGGGGGACAGTGGACAGTGGTGGGGACGGTGGTGGTGGGGACAGTGGTGTGGGCACAGTGGGAATGAGGTGGAAACAGTGGGACAGTGGAGGGTACAATGGTGGTGGGGACAGTGGTGAAGGCGGTGGCGAGGACGGCGGTGGGACAATGGGACAGAGGTACAGTGGGGACAGTGGTGGGGACAGTGGGGACAGTGGTGGGAACAGTGGGACAGCTCAGTGGGACAGCGGCGGAGTCAGTGGGACAGTGGGGATAGTCGGGCAGTGGTTGGGGCCATGTAGACAGTGGGGAGAGTGGAACCGTGGTGGGAACAGTGGCGGGGACAGTGGGGACAGTGCGACAGTGGTGGGGGCACTGGTGGGGACACAGTGGGGACAGGGGGGGATTTTCGGAGGGGGGGGGGGGGGCGACCCCCGGGTTCCAGAGGAAAAGGTTGGCAATTTTCCATAGTAAAGCGGCGGTGGATCACGCTCTCTCCGAGATCTGGACGCACCCCGAAGCTTTGGTCAGCAGCTCAGGGAAAGCTTCTTGGTGTTGATTTGCTCCTGTCGTTGCAATTTCGTAGGCAAAGTGGTTCCCTAAATGATGGTAAGCGTGTCCTTTGGATATGTGTTCCTCTTTTAGTTTCGCTTGTGTGCGGCCGTTTTAGCCCCCCAAGGTGACTCCAATGGGGCACGCCTTCGATAATGGAGCCCGCATAGACTCGGTGCCCTGAGACGCGGTCCATGTGAGGTTGGTTGGCCACGGCCACCACATTCGCACAGGCGCTATGCAGGTGAGGATCCCCGTCGTTGTTGCCTCCTACCGCCGCGAAAGCGG